CCAAAGATAAGTATCTCCAAACTCTGATGTCCTCTCAGCTCTGGAGAGGCAACATCAACATCTGAGAATTGTAAACATGGGAAAACTACCCGTTATTCCCACTGGGAGTTTTCACGTGTTATTCCAAGATGGCTGAATATCCTGAATGAATCGCATTTGCGTTAGGCTGATTGGGCGATATTGTATCTGTTGGAAATGTAATAAGGGTGCATTCCATTTGACCGAGTTCAGAGTCAAAAATCTCAACTTGAACGCTGCGGTGTATTGCCAACAATGGCTAACGTGGCTGGAGCAAAGCCCATCAACTTTCCAAATTGTTGTACTAGAACAGGTTCGGGTCAACTTGAGTGTGACCTCTAAGCTCCAACTTCAGATTTTCGAGATAAATCGAACGCATTTCGAGATAAATCGAACTACAACTGGGAGGCTAACATTAGGAATATTTACCTCTTGTCTGGTCAAAATAACATTTTATACAACATAACAAACTCAGAAGTTCTTGTTAACCGACATATTTAGCAGCTAATGCTAGCTGTTGAATGTAGTGGAGCTATCAGTGAGCGTAAATATTCAACTTACATTCGTCATGTGGTCAGAGACACGACTCCAGATAAATGCTGATGCGGCTACATGTTTGATGTACCTTTAAATAAGTAACTGTTTGCTAACAGTTTTTATGTATTCTGCTTGTTAAGTTGCCCCCAAGTGGCCAAACGTTTTTATTTATAATTGCATGTTTAATAATGATCCTCACTATTTCTGAAACAACTTGTGAATAAAATTGTGTCTCTTTGAAATGAGACATACAGTTTGGGGGATGAATTGCCAGACATTACGAAACCTCCTCAGGTTTCACTAAAATGCCTTCACAGCAAATCAGAGGACACAGAATTCTCCATCATGCAGAATAAACAAAGTTCAAAAACTGCAGAGTTAACATAAAAGTTGTTCAGTTACAGATTAAGCCATAAGGCCTACATCTTAGCAACAATGAGATGTGTACCACTGTGGTAATACTCTCGACTGTCACATTACTGGAGTCTGTCTCGGTATTATCCTTCTCTCTGAGACAGAGCCTCGGGGTGTGTTTGTTCTCAGTGGGGAAAGCAATGAGTCTCACACTGACTTTCCACAGCCCATTTCCCAATAAAATGGATTTATCAAGATATAGAAAAGCTTTTTAATAGGGACTTTGGGACAAAAGGCAATTCTTACTTGGTCTGTGAGAACAAGCCAAAAAACCTTTGTCTTTTTATTAAAGTTGTTTCTAAATGTTGCATTGTGTGTGGTGCACTGGGATGGGATACATTTTAGCTTCCAAATCATGTTTTCCTGAAAGCTTTTGACTGCACTGTTTTGAGACTTTTGATTTGAACAAGAAAAATTGAGGTAAAGTCTCAAAAGTACTACACCAGCATGTGGGTGTTGCACTGGCAGAACAACAGCAATTAGCAATTGATAACATCAAGATGGAAGAATCTGGGAAAATAAATGAAAAGAGAGAATATTGAGAGGGAAATACCACAAAAGTAGAAACCACAGGAGGAAGAAATAAACAAGACATTGAACATTTCACAACCTAAATTGAAAACTAAATCTAAATATAACAGCCTACTGTGATCATAAGCGAAACTGCTTGTATTTCCACTTGTTTAGTAGTATGTCTTGTTCAATTTTATTTGCTTTAGATTCCCTTTTCTTTGAAGAAGACTCTTGATGACGTCTCCTTCTATAACTGTGCTGATTCTCACCTCTCTTTATAGAACAGGGATTTAAGTGACAGTCTGGAGATATTACAGAAGCTCAAACACCATCAGCAGACTGTCAACTCCAATGATGGAAGCATTTTTGTTTCACTGAAACTATGTTTTCCTTCATGTGTTTCCAGCCATGCTAGAAGTGCGGCTCTGTGAATGGTGGGGTCGGACTGTTGGTTGGCCCACCACTTTGGTTCTGATTCAAATGTCTCGATAACTATTGGATGGATTGCCATAAAATCCGGTACAGACATTCATGGTCCCCAGAGGATGAATTGTAATGACTTAAATGATCCCCTGACTTTTTTCACATCCAGACACATTAAGATTGACCTTTTTGGTATTGAGTGAAATGTCTTAAAAACTATTGGATGGATTGTCATGAAATCCGGTACACACATTCATGCCAAAAAACGTCCAAACATGAACATGTTAGCATCGTTATTGTGAGCATGTTAGCATGCTGGTGTTACCATTTCACACAAAGTACAGCTGCTGGCATGGCTATAGACTCTTAATCTTGGTGTTTTATATCTTTATAATGCAAAAGCTCCAATACAAATTTGTAACCTCTGTTGAACTACCCTCTGTTTAAATCCTGAGAGACTGACCTTACACATGCAGTGGACAGCTGGAAGACATCTAAATTCATCCTGCAAGAAAAATATAATTCCTATTGTTGATTTTAGGGCTGTCCTCCACCAAAGACATTGTTACTAACACTTATACGATTTTGATGACTAATTGATGACTAATTTAATAGACAAATCTGTAAAACTGAGTTTCTCCACAAAGAATCACACAAAGCACCACTTTAAATCTTGTGTTGACCAGAGATATGCTCATTAGTTTCTTGAACATAATTCATTCGGCATGAAAAAGCATGAAGAACAACTAATCGACTAAAGGAATCTTAGACCAAAACAACCAATTAGTCGACTAATCGCCTAAATAATCAATCTATCGAAGGAAAAGATTGATGGCATTGTTAGAAACAGATTGATTTTATTGGTCAATACTTGTCCCCTCTAACAAAACATTTCATCTTTCAAAGTTTCAATTCTGCTGTTTTCTTAATTATTGCTTCCTACATTTGAAACAAGTAACACTGCTGATTCAAGATGGCACTGAATCATTGACTGCCGCTTTGCCAAATATGGTGTGTGAAGTAGAATCATCAGACGAGGAGAGTAATGAGTGGTAAGCTCTGTAATGATGCTCTGAATATCTCCTCTAATGGTGTTTCATGTTCAGGTCTAATTTTATCTACAGAACATAAGCAGTTTAAACGTTTGCACAGAGAGAAGAAGGAAAAGCGTATGCACATACTGTACACAACAATGTACATATAGTAACAACTAAAATACATAAACTTGCACACACACACACACACACACAGGAGACACCTCGGATAAGTCCATGAAAGTAGTCTTCGATGGACTGGTTAGAAGGGCTAAAAGGCACACAAACGCATATCTGAACAGAAGATATAATTCTATAATCGGCGCCATTCAGATTTTATCAGACAGTAACCATGAGAGAGTTGCTTATGACAATGGAACAATGCAGAGGAAACATCAAAAGAGATCTAGACAAACATGGAGACATGTTTCCTCTTTAGTTTCCCCCCCCATGACAAACCGAGAGCGGTTGAGGCACACAGACAAAGAGCATGGTCAATTATTCACCACATCTTGCAGCAATCCATTACACTGCATTTATAATACATCATATGGCCAGCGACATGCCACGCAAGCCTTAACAGCTACTCTGCCCTGGTGGAGTGAGAGAGGCTTCATGCAATACATAACACTAATGCATTGGCCCTGACATGAGCGAGGCACCAAACGCACAGCTAAGCCCACACACTGACACACACACACACACACACACACACACACACACACACACACAGGAGCTCTAATAGATACAAACATGATGTATGGCTGCTGCCAGTTCCATCACAATGGTCACACAGCTACTAGCACTATACCGTGGAGAAGACACTCTCACACACATATCACCATCATCAACCCTCATCATCACAGACATGCACACTGCAGCCCACTCACTGATGTCTACAGACACACTAGGGTTTTGTCTTTTTACACAATTTAACATGCGATGACGAGTGACGTTTTAGCCATGCATTGTGACTCTATCAATGGCATCTATCTATCATTACACCGCTTTGGTTCAGACTGTATATATATATATATATATATATATATATATATATACACACACACATCCCCTCAACTAATGAATTGCTTGCCATGAAATTTGTGCGAGCATGCATGGTCCCCAGAGGATAAAGCCTATTGATACTGATGGCTTTTCCTCTCGCGCCACTGGTTTACCTTTTCTTTTGTGAAATGTCTCCACAGCTGTTGGATGATTGCAGAGACATTTTGTGATGATACCCATGGTACTCCAAGGATGAATCTGAACCACTTTGGGGATCCTCTGACCTTTTGTATAGCACCACCAGCACGTCAAACTTTTCACGTATTCAGTAAAATATCTTAACATCTACTGGATGGATTGGCACAAAACTTTGTACCGACATTCATGGTTCCCAGATGATGAATCCTGATGTCTTGATGATGATTCCCTGGCTTTTACTCTAGCACCACCATGAGGTTGAAAATAGTGAAATGTTGCCATTCAATTTGATTCAAACATTCATGTTCCCCTCAGGATGAATTGTAATAGCTTTTCCACTATCAGGTCAATTTAGATGTGTTCAATTATTTGGATTAAGAACAAATAACTAGCAAATAACAATGCTAGCATGCTAACATGCTAAACGCAGATCGTTCGCATGGAAAACATTATACCTGCTAAACATCAGCATGTTAGCATTGTCATTGTGAGCATGTCAGCATACCTGCATTTGCATGTACTTACAGTAAGTAGGCTAAATCAAGGACATTTTATAATAAGGAACATTTGTGTGAGAGGAAATGGTGAAAAACACTCGTGTCCAACAGGGAAGGCTCCTGTCAAACACCTCCTTAAAGTCTTTACTCTTTGATATTACACAGCTGTTGTTCATCTTTTTCACTTGATGCACATTTGAATGCTGTGATCGCAGTGTTTGGTTGCATTTTTTCAGACAAAAGGGTGTATGGTTGAACATATGGTTGAATGTAACAGTGAAATACACTAACTTCACTTACAGCACACCAGCATGACAAAATAGACAAGCGACAAAAGACTGTTATTGCTGAGCAGACTCACTTCCATGCTAGTGAGATTACAGCGGTGAGTCCCAGCGAACCAGCCACTGTTGGAGCACTGGTCAATGTCCACATCCTGCAGGTTCACATCCACACGAACCACACCCCTGCCAGAGAGAAAGAAGGGAGGAAAGATGGAGGAAATAAGGAGAATGGGAAGCATTGATGAGTAGAGTTAGAGGAAATAGTGAGAAAATCCAAAAAGAAAGAAGCCGGTACAAAGATAGAGAGAAGATATAGTGATCACAGAGATGTTATCAAAGAGGGAAGAGAGAAGGTGAAGGAAATGATAAGGAGTAAACATTTTAATTGTAAAATTATTAGATTGTGTTACAGTTAAGGAAAAAAACGGGAGGGGGAAAGGTGACACAATAGTATGAGGTTAGGCAAATTAGTGTGAGGGAGAGGAGGGAAGAGGAAATGGAGGCAGAGAAAACCAGAATAAAAGAGAACAAAATTATAAAGAACGAAAGAGTGGCGCTCAGGGGAAGTAAGGTCAATGGTGGGCGAAGCAGGGAAAGGGAGGGTGGTAATAGAGAGGAATGAATTAAATAGATTGAAAGTGGGAAATAAAGTAAGAGTGATGGAGGTGAAACAGAGAGAAAGGAAGAGAAAGAAAAAAGGAAACAGAAGCAATGTTGAAATTTCAATAAACAGCACAACAACTATATGCTCCCCAATGGCAGACATTAAAAATGCACTGAGAGATATATAAAAGTTGTATTGTTTTGCTCACACGAAAAATAGAATAAATTCATTCTTAAACCTCCTCTAATACGGTATGCTGAACAACAGTACTGATTTAACAAAATATGCTTTATCACGTCCTCAATAAACAACATGTGTATGTTCTTAATGTTGTTAGGTTATGGATGTGGGGAGATGTGTAACGATCGTTGTCCAAGGAGCTGTCTCTAGAGCTGTCCTAATATTTGTATCAGCTGGCGTAAATCTCTCCGTAAACGCCGAGCTGTTTTCAGTGAAGGGGTTCTGATAAACCCACCGAACTCAATCAGTAAAAAACCAAAGGTACCGACTAGCTGGTGAGCATAGTTGAGCAGCTATAGAGTCAGATATTTTACTCAGGAGATGGTGGAGACCAAAACAGAGCTAAAAGGAGAGTGAATATTGAACTTACATTCACCGCAGTTGCTCAGAAACACGACTCCAAATTGAATAACATTGTTGCCCTCTGAACTGTTGTATACTGCTTTTTAACCTATATAACCTTATAACCCAAAGCGTTCATGAAGAAAGGAATGCTTTAGCGTTAGACTGCATTATTTTAGTTTGGTGTTACTTATAAACTGGCAACTGAGTGCAATTACCTCAAACAGCAGTGCATTGTCGTTTACAGCAGTTATTGGGGACTATTTTCAGCCGCAGATAAATTCACATTCAGCGTGTATTACAGTAATGTTTGTTCTCATTATTCATTCAAATTAAGGAATATGTTACCCAGTAAAACAGCGTAGCTCATTTATTTACTTTTTGGAAAACGATGGAGCTCCAAAGCTTTATCAGACTTTGGATATACAGGCAAGACTTTTTAGAAAAATCAATTTACTGTTTGGTTTCTGTGTTTTCATTGGATTTTTCAACAATAAGAGGTAGTATATGTCACCAGACATATTCTTTGAGATATTGAGTTTATCTGTGGCCAGTGCAAATAGTTCTGGAAGTAGCTTGTCCTTGTTTTGTGTTTCATGTAAACTTTTAATGACGGTAATTGGACGTGTGTTCTCTACTGTTCAGCAACACTGCAGACTGCAGCTGCTTTCCCACCAAAGGTGAGAAAGATTCTCACGTTTCCTCTCTGCTTGGAGACCCAAACATGTCTGCAGGACGTTGGAACAGTTCAAAACTCGTATACTGCTGGCCCATGCAGCCGTGAGCCATCACAAATCCATACTGCGAAGTGAATACGTTTAAATATTGCTCAGGGATGTTACTGGAATACAGCAATATAGAGGAAAACTACCTAAGACTTAAACCAGTGGTGCTAATTTTAAGCTGTTTTCATTAGTCTAATGTGCATCGCCAAGCCCATCATCTCTCTCGCTCTCTCTTTTTCTCTCTCTCTCTCTTTCCTCTTTCTCTTACACACACATACCCACGTGAAAAGCATTCTTTGTCTTCTTTGATTTACATTCTCCTACCCATTTCTTCCACCATCGTACAAGCTGAACATTCACGTTCACTCTCTCATCTTTCTCTCTCCTCTCCGGTTCGGTGGATGGGTCTGACACCCGTTACTTCCATCTGCCTGCTGGGAAGTGGAACAAACAAGCATGGAGAGAGGCTTTGGCCACCGGCTCTCCTCAAGTACACAATCCGACAGAAAGAGAGGGAGGCAAACGTGTTGACACCGGAGTGACAAAAAATATTGAGCTTTACAAATCAAAGCTACAGACAAGTTCGATTATATTTTTAGTCTGTCGTTGTTTTACATAATCTTTAACATTGTTAAAATGTATTAATTTGATTGTAAATCTACAAAAAAATATCATTAGTCACTCAGTTTTCTTCCAAAACTGTCCACAGCATTAGCTTCATGTGCTCTGTTTTGTGCTGTTCTTGTGCAGTCTGACCAGTAGAGGTTGGGTCTTCATATGGTGAAATTTGTTTCTTCTATCTATTGTTGTTCTGACTTAGAGAAAATGGTACTTGTTCCCCCTTTAAGTAGGGATGCACCAATCTGACTTTTTAAGTCCCGGTACAGATACCAATATCTGGGCTCAGTGTTAGTTAATAAGCTGTATGCCTTAATGTGTGGAAGTGAATGGGATCATTCTTTTATGCAGGGCAACATTAGGGCTTGACTTAAACATTGCTTCCCTAATTTTGTAAATCAAAAAGTAAAAATGTACATATCTTCATTGATATAAAGTTTGTGAAATGTTATTTATTATTAAAATAATAAGTCTTGCACCAGCAAATTGGTAAAAACAATCTTCAAAATTCATTAATTTCTTCGGCGTGATGCTTCTGGAGGTGCTTGATTTAGTTAGTTGTGTTATGTTTTGCAGCGTAAATGCCACCCATCGAATAATTGGCTTTGCAGATATTGCAAGTATAGCCGGTAGAATTTGAAGTGTAAACTACTTCCAAACAACATGTTTGTTGTTATCTCCCTCAGCTATGCAGTCTATCAGCTTGCTGCTGGCGTATGACGTAGTACGAGCACATGTGTAATCAGGACAGAGAGAATGGCAAAAAAAGATGAGAAAGAGGTTGCTTTGAGGTAGAGTAGCAGACATAGTGGAACTGACTCCATCATCTACACTAGCTTATGCTCTGTTCAGAGCCAACCGGCTTTCTATTTTTAGAAATGTCCTCACAGGACTGAGATGAGGGGCAGAAGTCATAGAAAGTTGCAGACCACAACCCACTTTATAAGAAGTAGAGTGAGAAAGAAAACAGCATGCATCCAGTTGAGTCGTTGTAGTGGATAGTTCTACTCAATTGGGGAGTGCATCTTTGTATGAGACACACTCTGGCCTTCACGTTCCCTTCCTAACGTGGTTCCCTCTGCTGACATCAGACCTTTTACTGACCAAGTCAAAGACAAACTCAATGTCCACTTCATACATTTTTCTGGAGCTTTCAACTATTTGAAATGGTTATTATCAGCAGATACAATTTACTCGGCTGTCACCGAGATCGATCTGTTGACAGCTCAGCTCAGTGGCTGTTATGATTTCATCAATCTTTAGGGCTTTTCTCCTTGTTGGCTTTAAGTTAGGCATGAACCATGGGCTAAAAGTGCTTTGGATGACAGCATGCGCTCTCATGTCAACGGATCCATCTCACAAAACGGAAAATGACACATGGGATTGGATGCACAAGTGTCTGATTTTTCTGTCACAAATCATAGTCACTTGTAAAATGTCACTCATTTAAAATCCCTCTTGGCTGAGCTTGAATAGTCAATTGATGAATTGTGAATTAATTCACTGAATTAATTTAATGAAACTTAACATCAGCAGACACTTAACTGACACAAGCAGATCTTCCATTTCTCTCAACTAGTTAAACATCCTCATTACTGCACGTTGATGGTTTCAGACAGACAATAAGTCATTTTTGGAGACAAATGGGGCGTCTCAGCCAGAAATATGTGAGCTGTGATAGCAATTAGAAACTGTACTGTATAAAACTCTTAACTCAAGGGAAGTGTCTCACTAAGCTAAAATGGAAGACCATGACGATTCTGATCAAACTGATTCTGTGGTAACTCCACAGTTACCACAACTGTAACCGCAGTACAACTCCCAGAAATGTCCAGAGCAGCTCCTGGCCAGATAACGAGCTCCATAACCCAAAAGGGACAGTCCCTATGACAGGTAGTGATGCAGCACTTTGCTCAGGGACACCTCAGCAGGGTGGATGCCTGCCAACCTAAGGCCCAAATCACTAGCACGACACACTGCTGCGTGTGAACCACGAAGCAACATTTCAGTGTTTTGTCACCTACATTCATTTGTCCTATGTATTCTCTAGTGTTAGGGTGGATTTTACTTAACATTTGCTGGTGTGTACTAGATTAGTGGCTCCAAAAAATTAAGAAAGTGGGGTTTTTGTGCACTAAATGATTTATGATGAGTAAATCACTGGACATCTTTGTGTGTGTGATACATCTCTAGACAGCTGTAAGGGTTTATTGCACCTGAAATTCAGAGTGGCATCATATTGCAGTGTGTGCTCTTTCATCGTTAATGTCTTAATTGATCTTTTCAAGACACTCTTTGAAATATGAGATCATTGGGTGACTGTATATGCACCTAACACAAGCACACAGATGCCAGCTTTAAACACTTTACCAACAAACGCACTTTGTAAAGCGTGCAGTGTTCATTAGATGCTATAGGCTGCAGCAGTGGAGATGCACAGCTGCGGTTTGACAGGCGAGCATATTAAATGAGAAAGGTCTACCTGTGTCTGTGAAGCCTCTTTTACACCATCTGTTTCTGGCATCAAGGCTGCAGATCATCATGATCCATATTTAAATGCACTTTCACAGAGCATTAATATAATGTTCTGAAAACCTTAATATGTGTAAAATGAACTTGAATACATTTTTATGCATTTAGAAGACAAGAAATGTTGTCTCAAAACGTATCAAACACAAACTGCATGTAGTTTCTCTCACTTTCTCACACACACAAACACCTCCTCTCACCTGAACTCTGGTGCAGAGTTGCTCTTCAGTCCATAGAAACCAGCGGACAAGGTGAGCAGCCAATAGGGCACAAACGCCCCATGTTCACACTCCAGGTACGGTGCCGACCACTTGATCTGGTTTTTGTCCAGAAGGTAACTTCCACTCTTGGTGCCGGATACCTCTGGGACTCTTCTGTGCATGTGTGGTCTCCTACCGTCCCTAAAGTCGTTGAACCAGTCGGACTCCGGGCTCCTGCTCCTCAGCTGACGGTGCGCAGAGCCGGACAAGTCCTGCAGCACCACCTCCTTCTCGGTTCTGGTCGCCTGGAGGAAAACGTTGGGGCCCGGCGTCGGCGCGTCCGCGTGGAAAGTCACCACCGCCCTGTGGATTTTGGGGTCCCCCTCGAGGATGCTCTGGACCAGCGCGTGGTACCAGTGGATGTCCCTCCGAGAGGTTTGCTCCCGGGACCTGTTGGCCTGCAGGATCATGTTCAGGAAGTTTGTGGCGTGCGCTACGGTGTCCAGGATGCTGTGCAGGGAGTAGTGGGAGGCGACGTGCAGGCCGCCTCGCAGGCTGCTCAGCTCGTACCTCCGCGAGCAGTTGACCTGCCTCAGCGCCGAGGAGTCTCCGGTGTGCAGGAACGCGGTCACCACCCTCGGGAGGTCCTCCTCAATTTTGTGCGCCACCACCGCGCGCTCAGTGCCCGGTACCGAGTAGTAGGTCGGGTGGTGGGGCGGCTCTCTGTTCATGTTTTGGGTGCTGAAGATCGGTGGGTGCCTTTCTTCCCGCTCATTATCCGACCACTCCACATAACCGTAGTTTGCTCCCAAAACGAGCCCCGTTTGCAGAAGCAGCGGAACGACCAGGAGAGCCATATCGTTCCGTTTTACAGGCACAGAGAGGAAACCGTGGGCACTTGGCAAAGTGTGGCGAGCATAACCAAAGCTACGCTATTTATTATACTGCTTCGCGGTATTAGAAACACTTTAGGAAGCACACGCCAGAGAATGTCCTGAATTTCATACCCATGAATCAAGCTGAAAACGATGAAGCCTCTCCACTTCCCGTCCTGGGCATCTTTTATCCGCGATAACACAGACTTTTCCTCTCTTCTTCTCCGTTTTTAACAGTAGCACTATATGATCCAAACACCCCCCAGCCTCAAAACTCATAAAAAACAACAACTACACAACCTTCTCATCGGCCCCGCAATCTATTCATGTGTAGCGACGTTATGAACGAGCGCTCGCGGTCTCTTTTGACTCCTTCTCGGATGAATCCATGTGAGAGGAGTACGATGACGAGACACGGAGCAAATTCTTCTTGAAGTTCCGTCCCTCCCAATATAACCCTAATAGGCTACTTAAAGTGTCGCCCACCGGTGTGTGTGGTTGTTTCTCACTGCCAGTCTGCCGGAGGTGGGCGGAGCGTGGGAACGACCGGAGCTGTCCGGTGCTGAAATTAGCAGCCGTAGGATGAGAAGCGAGGGTGGCGGTGGGGATCAGAGGCTGTCAGTGACGAGGACGGAGGAGCAGCCTGTCAACTGGATCTGACAGGCTGCTCCTTTAGATGATTTAAAAGAGAATACAAATGAATAGTGTGCATGAGAGAGAGACCAACAAAAGCCAACCATACAATGTGTTTATGTTGTACTGAATATACAATATACTTCTTATGTGTACAGTTTAAGACCCAAAGTATGTGGACAGCAAAACATTACACATTACAGGCGTTACAGTTTTTCCTCACATTTCTAGAGATAAACATTAGCATCTGCTTCCTAAAACCATACACTCATTTTACTCAACTTCATGTTTCACACCAAAATGATGCCTTTTAATACTTTTTTTATCCTGATTGTTCATACTGTCATTTTGCTATACATCCCCAGTTAAAGGGGTCTTTGAGAGAGTTTTCCTTGTCCAAATTGTGGGTCTACGAATAGAGGATGCAGAATATAGCTATGTGTAGGTCTCTCACAACTGCCATAGTTTGCATATTGGAGACCTAAACTGAAACACAGTTGTTGAATCTGCTGTTGAGAAGAATACTGGATCCTTTTGCTGAGACACTCATTCAGTCAGCAGTGCAGAGGATACATTTTGTCATCTTGTCCTTCATGACTGGTGATCAGATGGAGAAGTGAAGACAGCAGTGGGCGATATTGTAAATGCAGCAATGTTCAGCAGCCAGAAATCATTATATCGTTATATATACATAGACATAGGAATGTCCAATCCCTTACCCATCAACTGCCAAGGCCTGGTGATATTATCGGTTAATCGTAAATAAAACAATATGTGAAAATGTGAACAAGGGAAGTCAGAGAGATGATCATTTGTGTGCCACCTGCCTCTCTTTCTCATTCACACTGAGGTTGGAAATCCCACTTTATGTAGCCTACTCCATGTGTTCATCTGTTGTTGATCAAAAAAACAAACAAAACATGAAAGCATTGTTTTTCTTGTAGTGCAAGAGTTTTGTGTGTTCACGTGTCCGTCTCGGTCTGCTCTGACGTTCTCTGGGGTTCATCGAGACTCGGCCCCGGATTTTAAATGTGCGTTGCAGCGTACGACCGGCCCGGGGTGACTCGCAGGCCGTTGTCATGGCAGTGGAAGGTGACGACCGCGGAGTTCTCCCCGTGCTGCCCGCTGCAGCAAGAGACAGGGAAGGTAGCCTGTCTGGCCCTGCAGCACAAGATCTACAGTATCCACCTCTCACACACAGACACACTCGCACACTGATCAATCTGCTCCAAATCAGACTGATATTTGGACATCATAAGGACAGATATTCATAAAGGTAGATGGATAACTGGTGTTAGAACAGATACTACTGACATGGAAGTACTTGTAAGTCTCAGAAATCACTAAGAACTCTTTCATTCATTTTGTACATTGGTTTAAATGACTAAGCAGGCTCAGGGCCCCATCAAAACCACTGTGCAGTGGTGGAGATGGTGAATTAGGTGGAGGAAAGGAGACGGTACCGAGCAGTGAGAGAGCATCAGAGGAAGGAGATGAGAGACTGTAGGAAACGATTGCTCCTGCCCCCTCTATTTCATCTTCTTTTACAAGCTGCACTGCCTCCCCTGGCCCGATGAATATTTGATAGGCATTTGCTGCTTCATCTGCATGCTTTACAACTTGAGTGCGTACAACTGCAACAGTGGATGAGAGGCTGCTGTACTAGCCGTTCTTTCACCCACGCTCTCTGTTCTCCCAGAGGTTCCTTTAGATTTTTTTCAGAAAAGAGCAAGTGAAGAAAAAAATAAAAGGCTCATGAGCGAAAGAGTACTTCCTCTAAAGCTTTTTTTTTTTAAGTGCATGCTATGGTTTGCTGCGATGCCTCACCCATGCAGGGAGACATATTTGGAATGGAACAAGAGTTGCTGTCAGTCGGAAGGTGACCAGGGCTCAATACATAAGTTTACAGTTTCTTGCTTTGAAGTTTGTGTTGTAATGAAAAGGACATCAACATTCCTTTACAAGTGTATGGATGTGGGCTGTATGCCCTGAATTCAATTGTCATTATCCAACACAGGGCTGCACAACTAAATGCAGTTGAAGCCCATTTGCTATACACAAAAAAAACAACAACAACAACAGAAGTGTATTCCTGTTGTGCTTTTTTTCACTTGCATCAGGAGGAATGCTAACAGCAGCAACAAAACAATTATTTGGGCAATATGGTCGACATCTTACCATTAAAAGTTTGGTGTCAGGGATACACTGTCCATCAGTTGCAGCTTGATCCGGGATGCCATGACGGAGCCAGTCATTTTCAGAGGCTGAAAAGTTTTTCCAAAATCTATAGAGTCATCTTTCTTCACACTCCCATGCAATTTGAATATATATGAATTATGGTGTTTTTGCTCCTTTCACTGAAGCAGTTTACTGTCATAACAGCATCTTATGATGTAAAAGGTTTATTTTTAACCATAGCTCTCCATCATGTAAGCTGTCAACAACATGAAAGTGGGAAAAATGTTTAATCTTGGGTTGCTGGGCAGCTTCTGTACGTATAGCAAGACTGTTGGAACCTATGATTACTGACTTGGTTTAGCCTCAGTTTGAAGTCTCCTTCTTTGACCATGCATCTCAGAGGGTATCAGGAGGGTAACCAAGAGTGATGAAGAAGAATGAAGGGGAGATGATAAAAATAAGAAAGACGTGACTTTTAAAAGCTCCATTTTATCTTTAACGTTCAGCAGAATTCTGAGTCAAATTGGCCAGTTTTGTGGCGGTATAAAACAGAAACAGGCCATCAAGATTAAAAGTAGGAAAATAGTATAAGTTTCAAAGTCATGATTTTGTTAAATGCTAATGCTCTGGCTGCCAGGTTACCTGCAGTTGTCTAATGAAGATTAAAAAGGCTGCTGAAAAGTGTAACTATGCTAATTTCCCTGTACAGTCTGCCAAAGGAAAGACAGTTCAATCAACTAACGCTGGTGAAAATAAAATTAATTTCATCTGCAAATATCAGCACAATGTTCCAAAATAAATGGTCTGACAGTGTATTGTTACAGTATCTTATCAAATGTTAGCAAAATGTTGTGTTCTTTATCTATAGACACGTGTCCCCCTTGTTATTAGTAAGTAAAATACAAAAATACCTATTCCAGCACACTAAGAGCCTGTGTGTAAATGCTGGATAGTTTGCCAGTCTATCACAAGCCAGACAACATACACAAACACATTCACCTGAAAATGGACAACTTAGTGCATTTGTGTCACCATGTTGAAGTTTTGTAACTGTTGTAAGGAAAACTCATTCACAGAAAGGACCCATCACTGGTCCTGCTTACTCTGCAGCAACAGTGTAATCACTTAGACACTCTGTCACCTGCAGAGACAAAAACACATCAGACATAATGTCTGGGAACATATGGAAGACATATTGATTTGTGAGTTTTCTCCAGCTTCCTCCAAACCAAATACAAGCAGATTAATAGAGCTATAATTGGTCTCTCTCAAATTTGTCAAAGACAAATGTCAAGTGTTGCTATTAGTGATAATGTCCCTTCTCCTGTCTATAAGTCATAAGGGTCCCTCAGTACTCACCTGGCCTCAGTACCAGTGCAGTATATGACCCCCCTTGGCCATATTAGTTTAGTTTAGTATTAGTTCAATACTGTTTCCAACAGCAATTATACTGATAACACCCAGCTGTAAGTATTGTTAAACCAGAAAGGCACATATTCAGTCCATTTATTATAATGCAACAGCAGCTGAGACTTAATTAAATCATATAATTAATCCAATTACAGCCTTATCACATCAGCTCTGTTTGACGAACAGGTGGGTTATTATAATTAGAAACCAGATGTTTCCACAGACAGTCTGATGGGGTTTTGTGGAAGTGTCGGAAAATATGTGCATTGTGATGTTGTCAGTGAGGAAGTGGGGTCACAGGAAGTGGGGTCACAGGACACTGTGTGTAGAGGAGTTGAGTGAATTCAGCCTTTGCAAACTCATGCTGTTATGAATGTCAAAGACATATGACAGTTATGAGCAGCAGGTAGGATAAAATATGATATTCTCCTCAATCATGCAAAGCTCTTACTCCCACTAACGTAATCACAACCACTACTGAAGGCGTGCATCGGCGTCTGTGCATAAGATTTGCAAGACATTCTGGGCCTTTATCAAGGTGAGACACGACAACCTCATCTACATTACACCCTCAGGTGTCTGAAAGCCCCATCTGACTGCACACATGCACCTCGCCAAAAATCACCTCCACATTATCCCCGGGAATTATACTGTGGAATGTGTGAGTGTGTGTGTGTGAGTGTGTGTGTGTGGGTCTGTGTATGTGTGTTCTTGAAGTAGGCTTCATAAATTGTCTTGTACTATACAAGCGTGAACAGACAGGTGTGAAATCAGCTTGTCAGGAGACAGGAGTGAATCTCCAGCTAAAATAGGGGATAACTAAGAACTATATTCATCCTGTAGAATAACACATGCTTTCAAACACCCAGACATCACACAAACATCTCTGCCTGACTGATTGTTGAGTTTACTTTCTTCCTATCGTTTTAGTCTGAGAGGATAAGTTGTTTGCATAACTGGCACAGAGCAATGTGTCACAGTATAGTCAAATAAATTAAATATTTAGTCTTTGCTGCCCTCTAGAGGTTGCTTGTGTCCTTCTTATGTTTCCAGTGGTCTCATTTTGGAGTTATGTTTGACACAACAAATATATGAGCCCACAGAGTCACTCATTAATTCAGTGTCATTGGGCACATTTTCCAAAAAATACCGCTTGGTTAATTAAGTAGCCTAATTAATTCCGGGTTTGATATTCAAATGTCACAATCTACGTGGCAACATAATTGTCCCTGACTAATATTTGATAAGAGGACACACCAAATGTATACTGCAGAATATTAGTGTAGTTATATTCCCACAATTTTTCTTGCAGAGAAATCTCGACGGAGTGTCTGTGCGTTCGGCAAATTCTGATATTTCCGATAGCACTCAAAGGTAGCACGGCTGTAACCATTAATGACGACGAAGGAAGTGAACGTATCAGTTAGCATTCTGCTCCGTACGACAGCTAACGTTACAGAACTTACACACAGTGAATAAGGTAATGTTTAAGATTTTAAGTTTGACAATATTTTCATCCATTTTCAAGCCGTTAGTCGTGGTAAGGGTTGCGGTGTGACTGACATACAAGTAGTCAGTTAGATAACGTTGAACCAAAAACCTCCCGTTACAGTTAGCATAGCTGGTGCTAGTCATGCACAGCTAATAACTGTTAGCTAACGTTAGTGAGCTGTTAGCTCACGTTAATGAACTGTTAGCCGCTACGTAGGACAAAAGACAATGGGATGATACAGAGTTTGTTGTCTCGTATTGTCATCATCCAAATGTACGTTAACTTTATGTACGATTAAGTTGATTAAATGTCAGTCACGTTTACGTTAGTTATTATAAATAATGCACAACTAATTTATGCTTAATGTAAAATGAGAGGACTGCGTTACGCAGCAACACATAAGCTACTGATGTAGCATTATAGCAAGAGCTTTGATTTTCTTCAAATTAATTTAAGATAACTATCTCCTATTCTAAACGTACTTTTTGAGTGCTCTGAATTGTAATCATTTGCTTCCTAAGTTAAGCTCCCTAAATTAAAGGTATGCATACTGTGTCTACTGTGTGATCGAAGGGCAGCACTCATAATTTATGCCATTTGCCTTTTCAGTGACAGCCTCTTTAAGGATTGCCATATGGATTCTCCTCGGCAGGCGAAGAACCTGAATCGAGAGCCAAAGCGCAGTCAGAATCGGTCAAGCAATCCTCCTCAGAAAGATGCCTACGCCAGGCTCCTCAACCAGCACAGCAGCAGCAAGTTCAGTCTGTATCTAGAGCAATATGTAAAGGACACAGCATTTCAAAGGGAAGGAAATGGGCCAAGCACCCTGTTCAAAGCCCAGAGTGACAGGCAGAACATACCACAGCGACAAAGGGTTCAGGTGCCCAATGATTTCTCTGATTCGAGTGACTTCTCCCCCTCTTCCATGAAAAGTAGAGGAGAGGAGAGTTCACTGTCCTTGTACATGGAGAAGCTAAGCAGCCGCAGTGCTCAGCAGGACTTTGAAAGGAAGCAGGGTGTGTCTGACAGACAGCGATGGGGACAGAGAAGAGACACAGCCACCAGCCAAGATGGAGACGTCGAGTCTGGTGAGGAACTTGGCTCTTTAAAACCCAATGAACCAAAGAAACACCAGAAGCAGCAAAAGAAAACCAAGGACTCTCACAAAGATGTTACCTCAAAAGAGACTGGCGCCTTTGTTGGACGTCCTGAGTCCCCAAATACAGCCGGTACAAGTGGACAGGAGCAAGAGAAGATGAAGAAGTCAAAGAAGAAAAAAAATTCAAGGCAGCCAGAAGAGGAGAAAAGCGGAGAAGGGACATTACAGTCTGGGGTTGACGCTCAGAATTCAAGGCCCAAGTCCCCTTATGGCAAAGAGAAAAAACTGCAGCAGCCCAGAGGTAAATTGCATATTATATTTTTGAGATAATGGTATTTATGGTAATGTAGTTGTATACATTTGATGGTTTATGAGGGATGAAATCAATGAGTTAAATATGTTTCAGCTTCAAGTGCCAATTCTCCTGCTGACAAGAGTAAGAACAGAGGACCCAGAGGATCAAAGAAACAAGTTTTTGAGTCCTACATGACATGTGAGGAGGTTTCCCATGGCCTTAAAAGAGGAGAACTCCTTCAGGTAGAAACCCAGAGTTACTGTTCTTGACCTGAGACTGTATTCAAATCTATTGAGTATGGATAGTTTTACTCAAGGTGGTCAAACTATTAAAGCAGTTAATATCACAATATACTGGTTGATTAATTTCTAAATTGTTCATGCTTCCTCTGCAGGGACAGTTGAGAATCAACCCAAAGAAATACCATGAAGCTTTCATCCCATCTCCTGTAAGTTCAACCCCAAATTCATTTCGCAATTAATGTTTTGCTGCCTCAACAACTTGTTTAATGGGTTCTATTAAAACTCTCTTTATTGTTGCAGGATGACGCACGAGATATATTTCTGGATGGGATTGTAGCTCGCAACAGAGCACTGAATGGCGACGTAGTGGTGGTGCGAATCCTCCCTCGGGAGCTGTGGAAGGTAGACTTCACTCACTTATTTATCTATGTACAAAATTTGTAAGACATCAGTTTTTTAACGTTTGATTATTATAACAGGCTCCATTTTAGCTCCACTGGACAGCAGCGTGGCAGAGGATGATGACTGTTTGTCTGTTTTAGGTTGTGAGGTCAGACACAGAGTGTGAGGGCGCCAGTGGGTCAGACACCCAGAAAGAAAACACGGTGCGGCCAGCGCAGAAGAAGACGGAGCGCACGCCCAGGCCTGATGGTGTTTCGGAAGACCAGTGTAGCGACCAGGATGAACTCACCCGCAAAGTGCAGAATACCTCCCTCACTGACACAGGTACTGGGATGGAGTTGTGATTATAACAGCTGTTGCCAATCACAATTAACATGGGTATCAAATTATAATAGTTCAGTTGGTATTTGGTAATGGTCAGTGAACTGTGTGTTTGAATGTTTATTTATTGGTCTGACGAGAGTATCAATGCACAGAAGCAAACACAAATAAAGGCAGTAGTTCAGGTAATCTAAATCTTTCCTTTCATATGATGGAAATAGGGGAACATCTGGAAGACCCCTCAACCCCACGGCCCAATGGGGAAATACTCCAAAAGACTGCTAAAGTGAGCGTCTCGCCTATCAGCTCTGATGTATTTCTTACTCAACCCTTCCTGTTTTTCACCCCAAGAATTTTCCAGATAAAAATGACCACAAGAAGCAGGGTTTGTGCCCAGCTCATGAAGCAACGGTAGGGGCATGACGAGAAGGTTCTATGTGATTTTGATTGCCTCACCCTTCACCAAGTTGCCACAAAAACTTAACTCATTTGGCTACTTTACAATACAAGCCAACTATAAAAATTAACTAACATTAACAATATCCAAAGAAAATTAAAATATAAAAAAAACACCTATTTGTCTTCCAGGTGGTTTACATTGTTGAAAAGAAACACTCGAGAGCTGTGACGGGCTTCCTGAAATTCCTGCCAGACAAGCCTTTTGCCATGTTCTCGCCTGTGGACCACCGTGTGCCACGGATTAACGTTCTCCTTGCCGACTGTCCCGAAGACTTCAGTTCCCGCCCGGGCGACTACGCCAAAACCTTGTTCATATGTCGGATCACCAACTGGGCAGCTGACAGCAACTTTGCAGAAGGGTGAGTGTTGCATTCAAAGCTTGATGCGGCGAACCATTTTAACGACCAAGCTGACTCTCTGCTCTCTGCTCGTGTTTTTCTCCAGTCAACTTGCTAAGACTCTGGGTCAGGCTGGAGAAATCGAGCCAGAGACGGAGGGCATCCTGATAGAGTACGAAGTGGATTTCTCCGAGTTCTCCGATGAGGTCTTGAACTGTCTGCCCAAGAACCTGCCCTGGACCATCCCTGCTGAGGAGATGGCAAAGAGGAGAGACCTGAGGTAGCGCTCTGAAGCCAATACATAACTGCTGTATTTATTTAGCTAATAACTGGCCTACTGAGAATTTCAAGATTTGCCATCCGATGACAGCAAATGCATATCTAGTTTTAATTTAGGATTTATATGATTCAAAAACCACTGTTTTATCATGTGTAGGAAGGAGTGTATCTTCACCATCGACCCTGCTACCGCCAGAGACCTGGACGATGCTCTGTCCTGTAAACAACTCCCTGATGGTAAACTATCCTGAGGAGCTCCGTAATGATGATGAATTGTGATTATAGATCTAGATGCTGTTTTTTCCTGTGGGATGTGAGGCTGTGTCATAGACTGTCCTTTTTAAACACAGGTAACTTTGAGCTGGGAGTTCACATTGCTGATGTGAGTTATTTTGTGGGGGAGGACAACGCTCTGGATGCCATCGCCAGCCAAAGAGCAACTAGTGTGTACATGGTTCAGAAGGTGAATATTCCTTGATCATCTTCATCAGTGTTCTATTTAAAACTACTATTTGATCTTACCCCAGTCAAATATAGCAGTGATGAATGATAATAAACATACCTGTCATGTTTTGTCCAGGTGATCCCCATGCTGCCCAGGTTGCTGTGTGAGGAGCTGTGCAGTCTCAATCCTCTCACCGACAGACTCACTTTCTCTGTCATTTGGACAATCACACCGGAGGGGAAGGTATGACCATTTAAAACTTAATGGACCTGTTTGAACTGCTCTCAAACAATGAAAGGTTAAGTTCACAGGTTGATTGATTGAAGTTGGGATGGCATTTGCCGTTTTCCTCACTGGTTCCACTTCGCCTAACTCCCCCCCCCCCCCACAGATCCTGAGTGAGTGGTTCGGCCGCTCAGTTATCCGCTCCTGCGTGAAGCTGAGTTACGACCATGCTCAGTCCATGATCGAGGCCCCTGACAAGATGTTCGCTGCCGAGGAACTGCCACCTGCGGACCCCGAGCACCCCATTGATGAGATCCATCGGGCTGTGCTCAACCTGCACTCCATCGCAAAGAACCTCCGGGCTCAACGCTTCTCAGGAGGAGCCCTCAGGCTGGACCAGGTCAGCCCTCTCGCCCTCTATGGTTTCCTTTCATAATATAGCTGGTGATCATGGCTTGAGCACTCCACTCATGTTCCCTTTTTATCTCAAAATAAGAGTTCATCAAAGATAATTGAACAGTTTGTTGGTAGACATTATTGACATTATTTTCACATACATGTCTTGTGTTTTTTGTTTCAGTTGAAACTGTCCTTCACCCTGGACAAAGAGACCATGATGCCTCAAGGCTGCTACGTTTACCAGTACAGAGACAGTAACAAGTGAGTAACAAACCCTCCTCCGATACATCTGTCTTTTTGTCTTCAAATGAAACTATTTGACGTGACATCTATATACACTTCACCTCTCAATCATTCTGGAGTGCTTGCATATCAGTCCTCGTTTGTTAGTGTTTCTTTTTTTTCTGCCGCTCTGGTCATTTAACCGCTGTATCGTTCAAACCTGTGTTCTGTAGGTTGGTGGAGGAGTTCATGTTACTGGCTAACATTGCTACAGCCCACCACATCCACTCCAGATTCCCCCAGCTGGCCCTGCTCAGACGCCACCCTCCACCCAAGACCAAAATGGTGGATGAGCTGCAGGAGCATTGTGACCAGTTGGGAATCGACATAGATCTCTCCTCTGCAGGAGCCTTGCATGTCAGTACTCACAATACAGCAAATGTAGCCCAGTTTCTAATACCTCAGAAAAAATAGAAGTTATATTTTGTCTGTATTAATGATTGAAACCTTTTATTCTGCATTTCCAACATGCAGAAGAGTCTCAACACTGCTCTTGGGGATGATGAGTACACCACTGCCAGAAAAGAAGTCCTCACCCACATGTGCTCCAGACCCATGCAGGTTAGAGCCGAGTGACACCTACCGTCTTATTTATCACGCTTGTGTGGAATACATTTGCTTTTGTAAACCGTTTAATGCAGAAAATGAGACACCCACTGTCATGAATAGTTGTTACCATAAATGAAAAACATGCAAGGATGGGCATTTCAAACAAACATAATATTTGATAATTGTTGGGCACTATTCTATCATTCTTTAAAGGTTAAAGTTGCATAAACGATTTGATTTTTCTTACCCCATCCCTACTTAACATAATACAGAAACATTTAGTTTTGTCAGATTCAAACTGAATATGTACTATGTGAACACGAAACCTTTTCAGTGATATTTCTGTGTTTAATGTGTGTTATTGTTATTTCACAGATGGCGATGTACTTCTGTACAGGTGAACTTAAGGATAAGCAGTTGTTTAAGCACTACGCCCTCAACGTTCCTCTCTACACTCACTTCACATCGCCCATCAGACGCTACGCTGACCTCGTAGTCCACCGGCTGCTGGCTTCCTCACTGAGTGCGTGCCTTCTCCACTAAAGTCTCTTTTAGACACAAAAACAAACGCACACATTTAAATGGATAACAGAAGGTCCTGTTTGCTTCATACAGTGGTGCGGTTGTACTGCAGGACATGTCTGGTTGATGACGTAAAATTTGAAATGCAGAAGAGAACAAAGCAGCCTCAGAGCTCACGTTGAGTTGATGCATTGTTTGTGCTCGTGCCTCTGCTGTTGTCTCTGCCCTTCCTGCTTCTGTCTGTTCCTACTGTGCGTGTATGACAGTTTAAAATGTGTAATTTGTTTTAATTCTAGTACTCATTATGTGCATGTCTGTCCATTGAATGTTTACCTGCAGATTGTGGGCCTAGTTTGGGGCTGTCGACAGAAGAAGTCCAAAAGCAGTCCTCGCGCTGTAACGACAGGAAGACTGTGTCCAAGAGAGTCCAGGAGCTCAGCTCTGAGCTCTTCTTTGGAGTGTTTGTAAAGGTGGGACACATACTTTTCTCTCTCTCTCATTAAGCCAAGTGTTTATAAATATAAACATAAATTAATTGTTTAGGAAATGTGGTTTTACATAAATTGAATAACTCACCTTTTCAGATGTTATAGATCTTTTCTATGACATTAGATGCATATTAAATACATACATTTAGTTGTACACTTGATATTATTCAGTGGTTAGTCATATGTTAGTCATATTTTCGGGGACTATGGCTTTGATGCTGAATGAAGTGAGTTGAGTTGGAGCGTATTTGTTTTTCTCCTCAAAATAAAAAGGTTCAGCCTTTCAACTGGATGACAAAGCCAAGGATTGAACCAGTTTATTAATATCGGGTCTAAAAGCATTCCATCAATCTACTTTTTTGGTCTGTGCGCCACAGGACTGTGGCCCTCTGGACTCTGAGGCCATGGTGATAGGGGTGCTGGATCAGTCCTTTGATGTGCTGGTTCTCCGGTACGGAGTGCAGAAACGCGTCTACTGCAAGGTGAGCTCCAATACACTCGACTTCAAGAGAGCAATATTAGTAGTTTAGTCATAACACACAAAACAATAAATTTGAACAACATATACACTCTAGTACAATATGACTGAAAAGGCACGGGCAGACTTTTCAGTTTCAGCTTTATATACATTTGTAGTATTGTTTTGTGTTTTTAGATGTTTCCTACTACTTGTTAAACTCCCACAATCCCGTTCATTTCACTCAAATATAAATTCTAAATCAGCAAGGTCTAATCTTAAGGATTGCCACTTTAAGACCTCTCTTGTTTTTAATTGTTGTTGACATAACTTACATTTTTAGAGATTATTTTGACTCTTCAGATGGTTTTCAATTCAGCTATGTCATCTCACTATATAAGCAAGGAATGCGTGTGTGTGTGTGTGTGTGTGTGTCCTTCACATATCTTGAGAACCGTGTATTGCCGTTTGTTTCCACCTTCAGTCTGTTACGGGTCTGGACTCGTTCCGCCATCATAAGGTGGGGAAGAAATCTGAGCTGACTCTTATCTGGACAGCAGAGGACCACGAGAAAGCTCCTTTAGAGCAGGTGAGAACGGCAGACATGGAAAACGCTTGTGTCGTGGTATATAGCCTGTCAATAGGAAATATAAATGTTATTCAATATAAACAGAAAGGGAGAAATTAATCTCAGGTTTCACACAGAGAAGCTACCAAAACAATTGACGGCATAAAGATTAAAAAACCAGGAGAAGACCAGATTACTACCTTGTTCCTCGAAGAGACGGGCCAGACCAGCTAGCTGGGGTTAAGACAGTTAGAAAGTGTCTTGGACCAAGCAAGGTGACAGAATGTAAATTCATCATTTCTTCTTTCCACTTGCAGGTCATTTCAATCTTCACGTTGGTGGAGGTGCAGCTCAAAGCTGACGGTGCACCCATGAAATACAGCGCAGTGCTCAAGAGGCCCGAGGAGAACGAGTCAAACACTTAGACGTGCTGAAGAGCACTCAAATGCTTGAATGGAAATTTTGAATTGCACATTTTTCTTTTATTGATTGGGTAAAAAAGAATAGTAGTAGCTTAGAAGCAGTATTGCTTTGGTAAGCAGGGCGCATCACTGATCAGCTCAGAGTCACATTTCAATTGAGGTTCCCACTGAGTTTCAGTGACCTTTATGATTTATAGTGTTTTAAAACATGTAAACTCTGATGTTCTAAGTTAAGCCTTGATGGTTCCACTGATGGGCACACTGTTTTATGTAATTCAGTGGTTGTATTTCAAATTGATTTGTGACCCAGGTCTGACAGGAAAAGAACCGAGTCAGCATTAGTTGTATTTTGCTGTTGATTTATTGACCTTTATGAGGACGGTATTGATGTTATTATAACTGTTGTACACAGTCTAATGCGTGAAAGCTGATTTTCAGTTTAACATCAATATATTTGTGTTTGCAAAGCAACAGAGTACAACACACTACTAAAGTTGACTTATTTGGCTGTCTTGACTTGCTATGCTGGCTGTAGAATACCTTCTCGTGGCGCAACAGTAAAAAGGTAAAACCTTTGACTGCATCAGATGAACAGAACAGGTATCTTAACATCTGCATAGAGACAAAATAACAGCTACCACATGCCATCCAGGATTTTTACATTGTCGTATGTATTTATAGTGTTTTATACAGGAAGGTTTTTCTTGTGTGTGAATGAAGGGCCCGGAGGGCTTCTTCAGGTCACAGTCATGAAGAACAGCTCGTAGGACTTTTCATTTGATTTCAATTCTTAACATATTGTTCAGTTCTTGTCTAAACTAAGGCATGTTTTCTGTACTTGGTTTAAAAGACGAGCCAAAGCTTAATCATTTCTCAACTAACTGTTATTGTTTTTAACAGAAAACATAGGAATGACTTGAATTGCTGCTGAAAGTGGATGTTGATGAGCTCATGCGTTTGTGGGGTTTTTATGCTCTGAGTCAGTCAGACTTGATTTGTGCAGCAGAAATACTTTATGGACCTTATTAATATCGACTGTGAATTTCAGCCTGTAATCAAGCCGAAAAACACTTTTTATTGTGTGTGAAGCTGCACATTTTTAAGTGTTTGTGGGCCTCCCATTTAGTTTTGACTGAGTCAGTGTGCCTCTCTTTAGTTCTCAGTGCCATGTAGTGTCATAAATCAGCTGCTGCCGCTGCACAATTTTGTTTTAATTTTGAACAAATGAGCTTGTCAGAGTTTTTTGCTAATGTTTTTAAGTTATTTTTGCTCACATGGACTGTCGGTCTGTGATGTGAACTTTAAATGTATTTTAAACCTGCAAGTTAAATGTTTGTGCAAAACAACTGGACTGACTTAGTAGGATGTGTTTCTGTGATTTAGGGTTGGAAAAAATAATAATTCATTCTTAAGTTTGAAAACCTGAGAATGCAGTCAAAAGTACAATTTCTGTCTTTGAAAAGTTATATCATGACATGTAACTTTGGTTCTTGTCTGTATTGAAAGTTCAGTTGTACTCTGCTAAACCACCATAAGGCGCAATACATAGTTGTCCTTGTCACTATGAAAATAAAAACATACGTGAATGACTCAAACCGTGTTTTTTTTGAATACCTGTGTAAAGATAAATACGTTTTGATGCTAGTCACTGAAGAGGGAAAAACACTAAGCAGTGAGTCACTGATGAACCTGATAAACACCAATGTGGCACTGCCCTCTTCTGTTTAGTTTATATTCTGAATAAACACAGATAGTCTGTGTTCTTTATTACCAGGGAGTACTTGTAATTAATCCACCATAAATCCACTGCACCGTCATATAGAAGATAAGGATGAGAGTCATGTCGCAGTTAATGACCGCGCCTTTTTAAGATACAGGTATTGTATACATCAACACCTCACGAAATACTTGTTGAAAGAAAAGCTTCGTCAATATTTTTTCTCCCCTATATTTTTACAGAAAATATGACCATCATGACCAGAAGACTTTTCAGTGTGCCATGTCCTGAAATTTCAGGTCTGCTTCAAGCTGCTATAATAAACACTTTTTCTTAACAATGGATCCAATGACTTTTTATATAAAAGAGCCATTTGTAGTGAGAAACACAGAGAACTGATTTAATCCTGAACTCTAACAACATCTTTTTAGTCATGGTTTTGGTCGGCCGGCAACTCGACTGCTTTGATTCCCCATCACGGCTCTTGTAGCGTAGTTTTTGTTAGTTTGTTTTCAACAAAAACTCTGATAAACCCGCTGTACACTGTGCAGGAAAATCAAGCAGCAAACCAAGTTAATGACCACGAGTGAGTGAACGAATGGAGCATTTAGCTAACTGATGAAGAGCTTTTCCAGCAGGATAGAGTGAACAACTGGTCATGAACGGGCACCGTCTCCATCGCTGTATCCAGCTCTTTTTATACAACCATGAGTAATACCCTTTAGTGTATTGCATCAAGGTTTTTTTATTGGCTACAAATTAAATTTTTTCATTTGTAAAAAAAAAAAGAATAAAAATGAACTTAAAGATCAGGCAGATGAGTTGAGGCAGGAAGCTAATCTGTGATGTAAGAACATTTTACCATCACCACACCTAAGTTCACAGGCAGTGTTGAAGTGACTCACCTTTGGAACAGTAGCACGGGCAAGTTGCAGTGACGTGTTGTTTACGGTTTTTCTATACCTTGAGAAGAATTCCTTATCAGAGTTAAACACATTGACGCCAGTCTATACCCGCATCTCACCCGTACTCCCATCTCAGCACAGTGCACTGTTTGACTTTAACCCCACAACCATATGACTGTAATTGTTTAGTAGTGCAGATAACTCACATTTTCCTTTAAGAGGGAGGTTTCCCTTAAGTTATGAAGTCCAACTTTTAACCTGACACAGCAGATAACTGATAGAATATCATTACAACTGTACCACCACACAAATAATAAGCCTAAAGCTGGTCCTCCGATTCGAAAGAAAATTTGTTTAATTTCATATTTACATCTTTATTGCCATGACAGTCCGTGAGATGGCTCCTCTGATTTCTACAAGGGTCCAAAGGTTGCACATAAATTCATTACAATGATTATGGTCAGTCTACGTGAAAGCCATTTATACAAAGAGTTGTTCAATAACAATATATGAATGAGCTCATTGTTCTAAAATAGCATCCGATTTGTATTTTTACATGAATGCCATTGATTTTTTGATCAGACTGCATTTGCAGATTTCCCCCATCAGATAAAAAAAAGAAATTTGACCAGCGTGGCAGCTGAAGACACGACTGATATGACATAACCTCTGTGTAAGATCAGTTTCTCTTCCTCCTCATTTCTGCTACAGCGGGTTCAAAGTCAAAGTGCCATAAAATGAATCTGTCAGATGTCAGAGCTGCGTCTCTTCCTCCTTCATATTGAAACGGATTCAAGAGCTCGTCGGGACAAGCAGCAGCTCTACAGCCGGCTCAAAGAGTGGGAATTAATGAAGATCACTGATAAAAGGACTGATAGGTAGATCTCTTTTTTGTTATATGTTACATGACATGCTTTGTTATTCTGTTACCCATGTACACTGTAACCATTGGCATTGAGCACAACAGTGGGCTTTAAAATAAATACTGTATAACAGAAGTTACGTTTTCTATAATGCCGATGAGCTAAAATTTCAGCTGAATATGATTTTTTGGAATCAGTTTTGCCTTTTCTTTGAAACTTCACAACTCATATGGATTTCTTTATGTAGGGAGTAGGAGAGCTGAAAATTGGTGATGCTGAGAAAGGTAAGCTGAAAAAATGAGTCATGAGTACGGATTTTATTGATGAGATTACTGCTTCCCAGAAAATACTTCCCTGCAGTCATTCATTCAAGAAAATACTGTAAACCGATAAAAGGTAGTCACATCATACATTCTGTATTCTGAGGGACATTAAAACACAAAGGTGGATTTGTTAACATATTTATTGTGCTCTGTATTTTCAGGGGGATTGGGTCTGGGTGGACTCTGACATCGGGGTACCCATTGGAGCGAAGGTCAAAGTAACCCCATCTGGTCAACGGTTACTGGTGGACGATGAGGGAAAGGTAAACACTATTTACTGGCTAGTTGAACAGCAAAATATATATGTCGAAGCGTCGTAAAAACATTTTCAGTCAGGATCCACCTTTTATTTTGCCTCTGCGATGGCATTAAGTTGTTGAGTTCAGGTCGTCCATATGTCCGGATCATTCTCGTGAATGCGATATCTCAAGAACGCCTGGAAGGACTCACTAAAAATTGCCTCAAATGTCCACTTGGATTTGAGAAGAATTCATTTGTTTTTTTTTTTGTGGTCAAAGGTGAAAGGTCAAGGTCCCTGTGACCCTACCACAAAACACATTTTTTGGCCAAAGCTCAATAATTGATATGCTAGTAATGCCAACTGACCCTTAATCAAATGCAGACTGGCCAATCGTACCATTGCATCGGCCAGCTCTAACCAGGGTACGTCAACAAACCGGCTGTGCTCCGTAGACTCTCATCAATCGTTCCAGATGTTCTTCATTTTCAGGCTGGTTTTGTGGATTTCGAGCTAGTCATGGTTAAACGTTGTGTAATAAAGATACTCGTTACCCGGAGAGGTTGGAAGGAGATATGCGTTTGTTAAACTGTGGAGCTAACATTAGCACAGAACGTTAGCACATAATTTACTAGCGTTAGCACGGCCATGCTAAACAAGCTACTGAAGGTTACCCGAATGTATACACATGCTGCTTTTTGCTTTTTAATGATTGTAACAGTGAATAAAATAGCTTTACAGGCACAGTGCTGCTCCTTAATTTCATTCACGTTTACACTGTGATCTGTTGGCTTTAGCTTCTATCTTTATCTTTTTAACCAGTTTTCACTGATCAATCAGCTTGACATCCAGGATACATCCTTCAAATGCAAATTGTAGATCCTTCTCTCTGCTTCTTTCTTAAATCGCTTTTTTTTCCCTCCAAAATATTAGATATTTATCGAGTGAGTGCAGTTAGTGACAGTGTGAGCTCCATAGTTAGCTCTGACAGCTTGAGGAAGTAGTGGCGGGGCTTAGTAAGCGTCATTTTCACTTTAATGTGTAATAGGATACAATGATGAAGTAATGTAATTTTGGACATAAACTGCACCTTGACTGTTTGGCGGAGGCATACAACCGCGAGGTGGTAATTGTAGTTTCTTACTTTGACCTCCCAGGAGCAGAGTCTTTCCCAGGAGCAGGAGGCCTCTGTCAGGATCATGCACCCTACGTCAGTGGAGGGTGTGGATGACATGATCAAACTTGGAGACATGACCGAGGCCGGTCTCCTCAGGAACCTCCTTCTCCGACACAAACGAGACATCATCTATGTAAGGCACACATGCAACACGCAAACTGTAGTATACATTTGAAAGTGATCAACCTGCCACTGGGGTGAATGAATTTGACATTTGAAAGTACAGCTTCATCTGAAATGTTTCCTGACAAGAGTCAAGACCAACAAAACCAAATTTGACATTTTTCATTGAGCATTTCAAACTAAATCCTGGTAACCCATAATCTGGGTAATTGAACTGTCCTATGCACTAAATGTCTTACACAGCCATTTTCCTCTGATTGCAGACCTACACAGGCTCTGTGCTGGTGGCAGTAAATCCATATCAGGATTTCCCTTTGTATTCAGGTGACCAGGTAAGGCTGGTAGTAACTGCTAGAACTACTAATAGTACAACAGTTTCAGATCATTTTGCCTTTATCATCTAACTTTGGATCTCGTCGTCATAGATTACAGTGGTGATTCATGTGTGTATCCTGTTGTCCTTCAGGTGCAGTTGTACCATGGTCGAAAGCTGGGGGAACTCCCCCCGCACATCTTCGCCATCGCTGAATCCTGCTACTCTAACATGATGCGTCATCTCAGGAACCAGTGCTGCATAATCAGGTCAGAATGAATCACTTGTAAACTGTTGCCAATAGGCAGTCTTAAATAGAGTTAGTGTTCAGGTTTTTACTTTCTGATCACTAATTAATTTTTTCTGACTTTTCCTCAGTGGGGAATCAGGAGCAGGGAAGACAGAGAGCACTAAGCTGATCCTGCAGTACTTGGCAGCAGTCAGTGGTGAGCTCTCTGAGAAGCAGATTGAACAGCAGATCCTGGAGTCTAACCCAATACTAGAAGGTACCACATCAACACAACTGTACTTCAATGATACCGAGACATGCAGTTGTACTCAACAGACAGGCAACAACACAGAATAAGGGGTAAAACAAAAACAATCAGTGCTCAAATATCCCTGTTCTGTCTCGTGCAGCGTTTGGAAATGCAAAAACAATCCGCAACGACAACTCCAGTCGCTTTGGGAAATATTTGGAGATCTTCTTCAATAAGAACGGAGTGATTGAGGGTGCTCGTGTGGAACAGTATCTTCTGGAGAAATCTCGTGTCTGCCATCAGGTGGGTTAGCTCTTTCCAAACACCTAGCTCCTCTTATCTGGGCAGATAACCTATAAAGGCAGGGCTGGTTAGATAAACATGCTGTTATCATGGTCAACAAGCGATCTATGTCCTGTAGAGCAAGTAAATCATTCCATGTTGCCTGTCATCCCTCTCGTTCACTGTACTGAGGAGTGAAAACACACAAAGCCATATGAAATATTACTAGCTCATTTGACTGTGTTCATTTACACCCACTTGACAGAAAAGTGACACCTTTCACACACCTTTAGTTTATCCTTTTGTAGCAATAATAGCACATTTTTGCTCCACAACCTCAGGCCCTGGAGGAGAGAAACTACCACATGTTTTACTGCATGCTGGCAGGAGTCACGGCAGAGGAGAAGAAAACCTTGAGCCTTGGAGATGCTAAGGAGTACAAATTTCTCTCTAAGGTATTACAATATCTACCTGCAGTTCATTCTGTCACCTTAGCCAAAACAAACACGTCATCTACAGACAGTAAAATAATCTAAACCTTTGCTCACATGTGCTGCAGGGCAGCAGTATCGTGTGTGGAGGCAGGGATGATGCTAAGGACTACAAAATAATTCATTCCGCGATGAAAATCCTGACCTTCTCAGAGAGCCAGTGTCAGGAAATCCTCAAGCTGCTGGCAGCCATATTACACCTGGGAAACATCTGCTTCCAGGGTGAGTGCATGCATTTTAGATTCCGGGTCATACAGTTCTCTTTCCCCCATTTCCAGTCTGCCTCTACACCGTCTTCTGTCAAATACTTTTGGTGTTGTTGTTGTTACATTTGATCTTGTGTTCCCACCAGCAAACACGCAAAATAACTTGGAAACCAGTGACGTCAGCAAGTCAGAACACTTCAGCATCGCAGCATCAATACTGGAGGTGGGCACTTTCTTCTCTACGCTCATATTTAGTGAGTGATTGAAAACGAGACTCTGTATGTTTTTCACAGTGTGTTGCGAATAGGAGATTGAGTGAACATGAACCAGCTGCACCATTAACGGATCTTCATTCTTCAGCATTAAATGATGAAGTTCTTATCCGTTCTTTTCAGGTCCACAAGTCTTCCCTGGCGACGAGTTTGACCCATCGTTCCTTTATGACCAACAGAGAGAGGGTGACCAAACCCCTCAGCGCCGATCAGGCCTCTGACTGTAGAGACGCCTTTGTCAAGGTAATGAAGCCAGTGGCAGTAAATCAGAGAGTTGCATACATCCTTATTGGATCCTAATCCCTGTCCCTAGATGAAACGAATGAACATTACCATATGAATGCTGGATACTGTAATTTACAAGGAAGTATGCCAATTCAGCTGCATGGGGCAATTTTGACCTTTGATTGCACAGAGAATATTAAACAAACAACCATACAGTCACGAATACATTTTAAGGGTTAACATTCCTTGGTTATTTGTGGCCGATCTCTCAGGCAATCTACAATAAGTTGTTCATATGGATCGTTGGGAAAATCAACGGTGTCATCTATAAGAAGTTGACCAGCAGCCCCAAATCCTCCTTCCTGTCCATCGGCCTGCTCGACATCTTTGGCTTTGAGAACTTCAACACAAACAGGTCAGGACATTTCTTCACACTCCCTTAATTAAAGCTGAGCGTAGCACAACTCTGTGGTAACTTGAAAGTTAATGTCATCCTGTCTCTTCACAGCTTTGAGCAGCTGTGCATTAACTTTGCCAATGAAAAGCTGCAGCAGTTCTTCGTGGGCCACATCTTCAAGCTGGAGCAGAAGGAGTACCGGAAAGAGGACATTGTGTGGAATAACATCAAATTTAGTGACAATCAAAGCATCCTGGACGTTCTGGCTGTAAAACCCTGTAACCTGCTGGCTCTCATAGATGAAGAAAGCCAATTTCCAAAGGTGGTGTATTGCTTTTTAGTTGATTCACAAACCAAACATTAGTTAAGCTTTTACTGTAAAACCTGCCAGTTCAGTCAAATATTTCCATTTGTTTTTAATTCTAAATATGTTTTGATGTGTCACAGGGCTCAGACTTCACTTTGCTGAACAAGATGAACCAGCAACACAGAGGGAACAAAACCTACATCGCCTCCAGAAGTGAACACGACACAGACTTTGGGATTCGCCACTTTGCAGGCGTAGTTTACTACGACTCCGAAGGTACAAAGGCAAAATGCAAAAAAAGTCAAACTAAAGACTAAAAGCGTAATGTGAGCTGAGCAATGTTTTTTTTTCTTTCTGTTTAGGGTTCCTGGAGAAGAACAGAGATGCTGTCAGTTTTGACATAATCAAGATGATTGAAATGACCACCAACAAGCTGCTTCGTCAGGTTTTTGAGACTGAGCTTTCAACCAATGGTGTGAAGATTAGTAACAACAAAAAGATCATCATGACACCTAAGACCTCCCTACGGGTATGAAACTATAACCTCACCAGCCAGTTACTTTCATTTTGCTACAAATATAATCCACTTGTTTTTGATGGACATTTATTTGTGGTGCATATTGGGATACAGTGAACAAGCACCGATAGTGACATTGTGTGACAGTTTACAGTTCGCACACATTTCCACATTTTAGTGTCCTCTCTATCATCCGTGCAGGTTCAGACTGACAACCGTAAACAGGCGGCGACGCTGAGCGGTCAGTTCCGTCAGTCTCTGGACTCCCTCATGAAGGCTCTGTCCGCCTGCCAGCCGTTCTTCATCCGCTGCTTCAAGCCCAACAATGAAAAGCAGTCTAAGGTGAGTGACACTAGAGCTTTTAAACATAACCGTATAATTGAGCAATTATGTTCGATAAACAAATGACATGAGGGTTGAGAAAAGTTTCAGTACTGTTTACAAAAATCAAGACATTTCTCCTAAATCTTGTTGTTGTGAGTCAACCGTCCCTGTCTGCATTTGTTTGTTTCTCCTTTGCCTTAACTGAAGAAGATACAATTAATTTCCTGCCATTCAGCCCCGCTACCATCTGTCCTTGCACTGGATAAACAACGAACTCTTCCTGTTTTGTGCCATAAAGTAATTGACCAAATTTCCGGAAAAATAAGACAATATAATATAATATACCATGTTGGGATAGTAACCGGGAAGCTTTCCTCACCCTTTTAAATTAAAATGTATCTTCATCTGTCCACCATTATTTTATGTTAGTGCCATGGCTGTAGTGAAAGAAGTTGGTCTACCACGTTGGTTCTGATTGGAATATCTCAACAACTACTGGATGGATTACCCCCCACTTTTATACAGGCATTCATGGTCCCCAGAGGATGACTTTTCTTGCTACTACTGTGTTGCAATCCCCTGAGTTTTCTTATTGTGCCATTAGCAAGCCAAAGTTTAAATCTATCCTTTGAAATATCTCAACATACTTGATGAACATGCATTCATGGCTCCCAGACAATGGATGATAATAAATTTGGTGATCCTCTGACTCTTCCTCTAGCAATGAGCTTGACATTTGACATTTAAATTGAAATTTTTGATGGATTGTGGTACACACGTTGATGTCCCCCTCAGGTTGAATATATATATATACAGATATATATACAGTATATATATATATATATATATATATATATATATAACAATATTAACAGTGGACTTGCAGAGGTGATTTTGCTGGTGCTGTGTAGGAAGAAAACAAAAATGCTACTCTGGCCCGTATAGAAAGAATATACAAACCGGCTTTAATGTGCTCTCCTGTAGGCGTTTGACAGAGAGCTGTGTATGCGTCAGCTGAGATACTCCGGCATGATGGACACCATTCGCATCCGGAAGCTGGGATACCCAATTCGCCACACCTTTGAGGATTTCCTGAAGCGCTACAGGGTGCTCCTGCAGACGACTGTCTGTGACCCCAGAACTGTTAGTCGTGATGATCATACGTGATTTCATAAAATCTTTCTGGAATCTAAAATGTCACTCAAGATAATACTGTTCACTTCGATTATGATGGCCACATGATGGTGTACTTTTTTATCGTCTTTCCCCTGGAGGAATTTGGGCTGTCATTAGTGTCTCTTCATCATCTTTATTGTCTCCAGGAGACATCCGCTGCCTGTTGTGAAGCCATCTGCCAGACAGTGTTTGAAGGAGCCGACGAGTGGAAAATAGGCAGGACCAAGATCTTCCTGAGGGTGAGGAAAACTTTTAATTCAAACCATGCTGTAACACAGCTTTACTGTTTCGACACAGTAGAACACCACTGCAGATTAACAGTAACAATATTAACTGGTAAAGTAGTAACAGTATTACGAACTAGCAGCTAAACTGTTGACATTACTTCCTCTCTTCGGTGATTTGTGCATATTTAAGTCCTTACTGTATGCTGCAGTTTACTTGATTTATTTTTTATGAGATTTGGATGATTTAATCTTGGAACATCATGGATCGCAACGATGTTTTTCTGGATAAATCAGAAAGTAGAATTGTGTCTTTTCTCACTTTATTTCAGGATGCTCATGACTCCGTCCTGGAACGAGTGAGGGAACGCAAGCTCAGCAAGATAGTTCTGGTGATCCAGAGGGTCATGCTGGGACACAAAGACAGGTGCAGCATCTAAGAAGACTAAAAGGGGAAATCACATAGATATAAAGAACTCAGAACTGAAAGGTCATGGATACATTTCTTTGTTTATCTCTAAAGGTCTGGGTATTACTAAACTTTAGCTACAGATTTGGTATTTTTATTGAGATACATATACTTCCAGATGAAATGTGGTGTCACAGAAAAAGATGTGTGATGGAGGTTTCTTTTTTTGCTTATTTTACAGAAAGTCTTTCCTGAAGAAGCGTCGGGCAGCTGTGGTGTTGCAGAATCACTGGAGAGCTTACAGACACAAGCAAATGAGAAGAAAGGTCTAATGCTGAAATAACCTTTTATAGAACTCAGAGCTTGCATAGTTGACACCCTGCTCTCTCTTTGATGTTTGCTATAACTTATCTCAAGTCCAGTGGCCTTGTCCTTTGTTTCCACTTTTGCTTCAACCAGCTCTGGCACGGCTTTGAGCGGCTGGCATCAAAGATCCGCAGCCGTAAGCTGTGGTTACAGTACCAAAGACAGCGAGCAGCAGCACTCACCATACAAAGCCAGGCATGTACTATACATACTGTACATGGTATTTACAGTGTAGCGTTACTACATTTTCAGTGTCCGAGGTTGAAAGTTTAACTATTTTTGTGTGTAGATATATACACATATGTTAACGTGTTTAAAATGCATTTTTGATTTTAATCAATTTTACTACTATTTTTATATGTTAAATGTATGAATTTCACTTTTATTATTATTATTATTATTACAGCAAAGCAAAAAACTTCTTATTGTCGGTCCTTTTGCAACACAAACTTAAAAAAAAGAGATTAGTTAATTATTTAGTGAGAAAATTAATCATTTCTGTTAAACTGCAGGTTCGAGGCTACCAGGTGAGGAAGGACTGGAAGCAGAAGAGAGAGGCAGTCATACTGCTGCAAGCTCATAGAAGAGGACTCCTGGCCAGGAGAACAGCTCAAAAGATGAGAGATGACGTAAGAACTGAAAGTCTTGAAACTAGAGATAACATAATCACTGTTAAGAAATAGGCGTGTTGTATTAACAAACCTTTTCACCTCTTGTTTCTATATCTTATCTCGACCCAACCCCTCCTCACAGGCCTCTCTTTTGCGCCTGGCGAAAGAGAACGAAGAGAAGATTGCTTTGGAGCTTCAGCAGCGACTGAAAGTTATCGCTCAATCCCAACTAGCTGAAGAGGAGCCTGAGCCAATCGATGAAGAGGAGCCGGAGCCAATCGATGAACAGGATTCAGAGGAGCACACGTATGATCTCCAGCCCACGCCTCCTGTGGAAGTGGTAAAACAGGAAGCACACCGTTCAGATGAATTTGAGGTTAGGCAATATTTCAGATGTGAAATGTGACATTAATGCATGGTTAGCCTTTTTATCATATATAATTAATTTACTGAATCCTTAAAGTTAATTATATTTTGACTGTTTAGAAGAAGAGGAACATGCCAGAGCCGGTGGAGGAAACCTCAGTTGAGACATCAGAGCTGGAAATCATCGCTCCAGCCTCATGCTCACCAACCCCTACCCCGTCGCTGGAAGAGGACGAGGACGAGTTTGATGACGCCAGTGATGAGTTTTCTTTCTTAAAGTTCAGCATCCTTCACTTCGAGAGCAACACCGGCCACACGCACTTCAACCAGAGACTCAAGCAGCCGCTTCTGCCCCACGATGACGAGGGCGATGCACTGGTAAGTGGGCCGAGAGGAACAAAGAGGCAGCTGTCTTACCGTCAGCTGCAAAGATTTCCAGCTTTTGCCAAAGCTCACCCCCAGTTTCGTCTCATCTTTTGCTAATTTTTCCTTCAGGCGTGTCTGACTGTATGGTGGATTATATTGCGTTTCATGGAGGACTTGCCAGAACCAAAATCTGTGGACGCAATGTCTCAAGCATCCAGCATCATCTCCCGTCATATGCCTCATAGGCAAGGCAGGAGGCTGAGCAGCCTGGTGGGACTGGACCAGGTAACATATTACAAAAAGTTTCTTTTCTGCTGCTGTATAATACAGAAGATCACCTTGAATGTCAAACAACAGCCTCTAATTATCATGTCTTTTCTGAATAGAAAATACTGAGGAAGAACAAGAAAAAGCTCGGAGGTGGAAACAGAAAAGCTTCCGTCATTCTGGAGGAGGTCAGCACTAATGTTGCTCTAATATTAATCAATCAATCTTTATTTCTCTGTTGCTTCATTATGAGCATCTTATGCTAATTTTTACTTTTTTTTTGTCAGCCAGAGAACATTACGGAGGACGACAACATTTTGATCGGAGAGGGCCCGACACTGGATCGGCCACTTTCATCTTTGGAAAAACTACACATTATCATCGGATACGCTCTATCGAGACCAGACATAAGGTAGAGATGGAATGATTGTTGACACTATAGGGAGGAACAAACATAGATATGCAGATATAACATTTGTATACGGTGGAGCAGCATTGTGCAGCCTCATAACATAAGATTTATATCAATCAAATTTGTTCCTTTTTTTCCATCATTAACATTTTAACCCCCTTCTGAACTATTGATGGTTCTCTTGCATCTTGTTGCATTCATTGATCAGTTCTTCTTATACTCTTCTACTGTCTTGTTTATCACTGTTGCTCTCATGTTTCTCGGCCTGTGCAGGGATGAGATTTACTGCCAGATCTGTAAGCAGCTGGTGAACAATAAGAACAGGAAGAGCCGTACGCAAGGTTGGATCCTTCTTTCCATCTGTCTTGGGATCTTCCCCCCAACAGACCTCTTCGAAAAGGTCAGTCTGCAGCAAGCATTCAGTAAAAAATATAAATTTAGTAAAAAAATTGTTTAAAAATTGTCATCATTCTTTAGTTGGTGGTGTATTCTATTGACACTGTTCTATTCTTCTCTGTTCCACAGTATTTGGAGACTTTTGTCCGCAGAGGTCCAAGTGGTTACAGACAATACTGTAGTGAGCGGCTGCGCCGTATAATAGCCAACGGAGGAAGGAAAGAGTTGCCCTGTTGGATAGAGGAACAGGTAGAAGCACTGAATCACATTTCTTTGTCTGCATCGTCTCTTGACATTATTTTCTTCGCCAAGTTTATTGTTGAAGAAAAATATTTTCTTGAGCAGCACACGTCGCATCAATCAGCTATGAAACTTTAAAGTATTGAATTTTTTTTCTTGAATTTCTATAAGCATTTGGCATTATCTATTTTTCATACTTTCCTGTCATTTCACACGGGTATATGAGGTATGAGGGGGGGGTCTTACCCTACATCAGTGGGCAGAGATGATTGCAGGTGGCGGTGGCAGTTGAATATTCATGTAGCTTAAAACTGCTTCTGTAGTTTAAAGAAGAAAAATCCATAATTCCCCCAAAATGCGGCAGAGGAATTTTACTTTCATTACTAGTCCTGTAACTTTATCCACACCACTCGAAGTCACCTGTTTTTTCGGCTCAGCTGCCTGTTCCACAAGTAGAGACTAACCTCTGGTGGCGCGTGCGGTGCACTACAATAAATCCCATCGATACAGCGTCATAGAACGTGGAGCTTCTGTATTTATGATGGTATTGAAAATCCTACCGTCAGGATTTGTAAATACCCTGGTATACCTTAATAAAACCACCTAGGCCTAATTTCAATTCAGTCGTATCTTTCTTCTCTGCTGACAGGCTGCCAAGTCCAAGGAGCCCATAGATGTGTCTGTGACCATACTGGACGACCGCACTGTCAGTCTACAAGTGGACTCGGCTTCCACCTCTGCTGAAGTCTGTCAAGCTGTGGCTGACAAGATTGATCTTCGAGACACATACGGATTCTCCCTGTATATCAGTCTCTATGACAAGGTGTGCTTCACTTCCACATGTCTTGTCTCGTCTTATTCAGTCAGACCTTCCCCTCTTTTTTGCAAACAAAAGTGCACATGTGTTTGGTCGTCCCATAAACTGTGATTCCAGTTTCTTAATATCAGTGCTGAATTCCAGTTCAAATAATTGTAGTGAACCACGCTCTTAAACCGTCTTTCGTCTCCAGATGTGGTCTCTGGGCAGCTGTGGGAAGCACGTATTCGATGCAGTGTCTCAGTGCGAGCAGGAGATGAGGAGGCAGGGCAGGGAGGAGAAGGACACCCCCTGGACACTTTCCATCCGCAAGGAACTGTTCACACCCTGGCACGACTGCTCAGTAGACCCGATCAGCACAGATCTAATCTACAGACAGGTTATCAAGGGAATCAAGATGGGAGAGTACACCAGTGATAAGGTGAGGCTCAGGAGTGAGAGGACTTTGTTTACTTTTACATACTTATTATAACTTCATTTCTCTTGTAAAACTAAAAGACAGAACCCAACATTTGTATGGTCACAGGTTGGATTTTGTCTGTGAAAGATGTGAATTTTATATCGAAAAAGCACAGAATTTGTGCCCCTACGTCTTCTTCTCTTCACCTTTTTGTATGAAGAAGTAGCAGTTCTTTAACAGGCTAATTATATTAGCCCTTTGGTGTGATGCTACACTAGGAACAAAGACCAATAACGAGGTTAGCATCATAATGTTGCTCCCTATTTCCTAGATGTGTAAATGAACGACGTTGGCAGCATGTTACATGATATAAATGACCAATTCAAAATAAGGAACAATTTCTGCAGATTTTGTGTAAACTGTATCAAATAAAAACGTGTTGCGTCTCTCAGGAGGATGAATACGTCCAGCTGGCAGCAAAGCACTATTACATCCAGTTTGGGTCTACATACAACAAAGACAACGTCCAGAAGGTGGTGAAGGAGTGCATCACCACAACACTTATTGAGAACAAATCTATGACAAAGTGGGTCCAACTCATCAGCGCAGAACACTTAAAGGTATAGTACATGGAATTAAACAACAGGCCAAAATTAGACTCTGTATGCATTTTATAAGCCTAAAACTAATTTGTGTGTGCCATGTGTAGTGTTCTAAATACAATTTTCAGTTTTATTTCTTTATCACATACAAAAAAAGGTGAGTCACCTTTTCTTCGATGTGTCTCGAAGATCAATAATTCTTACCTCCTGGTCCTACAGGGTCCTTATGTCAACGGGAAGCCGAAAACAGACAGCGTAAAAGGAGAACTGGTCAACAACGCCCAACACGCATGGCCCCTGCACTTCTCCAAATTTTATGAAGCTACATTGATATCAGGTCAGTCATCATACAGCTTATATTACCCACAGTATTTAACATGCAATACATGTTTTACTCAACACCCAGAGAGGTTTTAACAAAATATATTTAAAAAAATATCAAAAAACGAATTTAAAAAAGGGTAAAAAATATTTTCTTACTGCAGCTGGGTTTACTGCAGATGAATGTCACCATTTAATATTATTAGTATGTCTGTGCATCCCCACTGATCTCAGATTACTAGTTGTAATTTAAGAAATGGCAGAGCGCTGCTTCTGAAACATTGCATTCCTATATCTGTCCACAGGACCTCCTTTGTCCAAAAGCAGATTTTTTGTGGCTCTAAACTGGAGTGGCATCTGCTTCATGGATGGCAGAGACAAGAGCCTCCTTGAGATTCCTTACCTAGAAGTAAAGGAAGTACGCGTGATCAGGTATGGACAATTCATATTCTGCTGATACAATCATTTTTTTTCCTTGTAAAACATTCTGAGTAAAAACATCAAACAAATAACACTTTGATGTATATAACCGTTCTAGTGACAGTCATTTCAGTAACACCCAGTCACTGAGTTTGACCACAGTCAAAGGAGAGTATGTCCTGAAATCATGGGACGCTGCGGACATGGCCGCTCTTATTGAGAAAAACCTGGACGGGCTGAGACAACGCTCAGTGTATGCACTGGCTCAACAGGATGCCAGTAAACCAGGTAAGAGTCTACATATAATATTAGGCTCAAACACACTTGCACATATGAAGTCTATTTTAACCCATTCATGCACAAAAAACACACATATGCCTCTCTTTCTCCATCCTTCTACAGATGACCCCATGTTTGTGGTTTGTAAACGAGGCGACCTTCTGCTAGTAGAGAAAGATGAAGAATGTTCTCCTGATAAGAACTTGATGGAAGTTACCAACCAGCGGACTGGTGCCAGTGGTGTGGTCCACAGGGATACAGTGCACTTCCTGCCGACTCTCGAGAAGCCCACTGACTTTATGCTGGTAGAGTTATCCATCTTTTATTGTAGAATTATTATATTTCAGCATTCAACTTCACTATTATAAAAAGAGGACATTAGAAGAGAGTGAATATGAAGAAGTTTAAATCAGTTTATAGAAATAGTGGCATGTATAAATATAGCCTGTAAATAAAATTGTTGTTTGTATTTACATAATGTAACAACGTATCAAAAACTGTAAAGGCCAAATTTAGCAGTGGATCCATGAGTGTGATGGTTCGTATGAGCTCCCCTTGTGGTGTAACTAATGAACTGCCTCTGACCCCTCAGGAGCTGCTCAGTCCAGGCCAAAGGAAACCATCAACAACACAAAACACCACACAGAGAAAGGAATCAGTGGCTCCTACCTCTTTAAAAGAGTTTGCATTTGAGAACTTCAGGTATTATTGTTTTTCAAATTTACATTATGATATTCGTCAAACAATATGTCAGACATTTATTTTACTCTATATGAATGGCAGGTTGTTTTTTAGTGTTGCAAAGAGCAAAAAACTCTCAGGAAGCAAGTAGGACCGATGTGCTCACACACTTTGCTCCCTGTCTGTCGCAGGCCTGCAGGTAATGCCGGTCGACAAGGTGCGTCTAAAGGGGTCATCAGGGAGAAGCTGTGGGCTAGCTCCAGAGAACCTCTCAAACAGCCTCTCATGAGAAGTCTGGCCCGCAACTCTGATCTCAGCAACCTGGCCTGCAGCACCTTCACTGATATCCTTCAAACTAATGCTTCCCTGTTGCAGATGAGGGAAGGTTTGGACGCCGTTCCACTCACATCCCTGTTTCAGTAACAGCTGAAACATTTGATAATGTTGACCTTGTTAAAACCCCAAATTCTCAACATGGTTCAGGGGATTTTCCAAACCGTATTCTGTTGCAGGGAGTTTCTCCCAGCTTCACTAATGACGAGAAATTTCAAGTTTCGAATGAAAACATCAGATAATAATGTTGTTTTCACTCACAATATTGTTTATTACACCTAATTAACTGCATGTAATCTGCACCTTTTTTTTTTAGAGGAATAAGTCACTCTAACAGGGTTGTCAAACTCATTTTAGCCACCCATAGGCCATACAGCCCAATTTGAGCTTGAGTGGGCCGGAGCATTAAAACCATTGCATAATAACCTATAAATAGCAACACCTCCCATTTTGTCCCTTTCGTTTAGTGTGAAGAGGTACAAGAAAACGTACACAATTGATGAACAATCCATTTACTAAACAGACGATGAACAGCCTGAGATGTCTCGCTGATCTCTCGGCTATGACTAAAAACTGTTTCTTCAAACCTCAATTATGTTATCATTTCTGCTAATTAATTTCTTTAGCAGGCCTCGTGTTTGACACCCCTGGTCTAGAACACATAAAGGACTATGTGATACAGAACTTAGTCTGTGTGAATCCTTAACCGTGGCTGCTACCTATCCTGAAGTACATGGGCGACTACCCCATCAAACATGCTCGCAGTCCTTTAGAGCTGACTGACCAGATCTTTGGTCCTGCCACGCAGTATGAAGCTCTGCAGGACGAGGTCTACTGCCAGATTATGAGACAGATGACCAGCAACAGCAGCAGGTGCTCCCTCCGCGTGTACTTCTGTATGTTAAAGCATTCACACACGATCAAGAGCCAACATATAAAATCCCCTATGATTCCCCCCCCCCTTGCTGTTCTGGCTCTCCCTCCCTCTCAGGTTGAGTATGGAGCGTGGGTGGCAGCTCATGTGGCTGTGTTTGGGCTTGTTCCCGCCCAGTCAGAATTTGACGAGACACACAAAGCACTTCCTGGAGTCACGTCCCAGAGACCAGCTGGCTCCTGGCTGCCTGCAGAGGCTGAACGGGATGTGCAGGTCAGCCTGGAGTTAGATACTGAAATAAGAAAAATAAATGTAGAATGTAATGTGATGACTGCAACATCCTGTGCAAAGGGTTTGTTACTGGTAGTTAGGTCATGAATGAATAACTACATTTGAAAAACTGTTGGTCCATATTTAGGAAATAATGATGCTACTGAACTGACAGTAAATTGTAAAAAACTGTATATTTTTTATATTATTTCAAAGGGGTACACCAACAATTTAGTATTGGATTCACGGGTGACAGGTTAAAAGAGTGGATGAAATTGATAGATCAGATGTCGAGATATTCTTACTGTGAGTCCTTAGTATGTGTCAAGTTGCAAAAATGCTGTATCCTACAACTACCATAATGCAACTTGGCAGTGTGGAAATTGGTGGATTGTCCCTTTACTTTAAAATATTCTTGCAAACCACAGTGATCCAAGCTATTTTGAGTCTACTACTACTAAGATTTAAATCATTGCAGCAATTTTTTTTCTTCCATAGAGATAAAAGCGGAGAAAGCTGACGATTAGAGGTTAAAGAGTGTTACTTTAAAGGGAGTGTGAAGATGGAAATGTGTTAAAAGAAAAGTTTTGTCATCCTCATTCATTCATTCCTGTCAGTTCATTACTGTATTAGTCATAATAAGTAATAGGAATCATCAGTGCATGTTTTTAAATCACAATAGTGTGTACAATACATGTATTGGAATGCTTTGTAACCTCAGTAAGGAGCCCAGGAAGCTTCCTCCCCATCCGGTAGAAGTGGACGCCATCCAACAGAACAGCACCCAGATCTTCCATAGAGTCCACTTCCCAACTGACACAAGTGATGTAAGACACAACACTCGCCTCTAAACACTTAGATGAGATGTCCATTAGCTTGCACTTGATCGTGATATTGATATTAACTAGCATGATTTTTTTTTTCTGTTTTGAGCTTAGCTTTATTTTTGGTCATTCTATTATTATCGGTATATCCATCTGTCAGGAAACATCTTTTCTCCCACATTTATTTCTTAACATGAGGTTCTAAAATGACTTCCAATTTCCATATTTAAATCTCATATCACAGTCCATTTGGATAGCAGCGAAGGTTTCTATCCTAACTGTTCTTTGTGCAGATATTTGAGGTGAAATCGACGACCACAATCAAAGACCTGTGCTACAGTATCGCCTCTCAGCTCAAACTGAGCTCAGCTGAAGGATACGGCCTGTACCTGAAAACGACAAGCAAGGTGGGGTTGGCTAATATTCCTGCAGGAGTTTGTTTGTTTGATTCTTTTTAGCCATTCACTACATTGTAGTTTGACAAAAAATATGAAGATGTATTGATTTCTAGACAGCCTAAGGGGATATTTTGTGCTTTGGTTTGCATTGACAATATGACTCACTTTGATTTAAAAACTTTGATACAATGAAGTCATACATTTCAATCTTATCTACACTGATGAATTAATAGTCTTCTTCACAGTTAGTGATTGGAATAACCCCCTGTGCCTCTAACCTGTTTAACATACTGATATTATTCTGTTTTTAAATCTTAGCTCGTAACCTTGGAGGAGCAGAAATACTTTTTTGACAGTTTAAGGCAGACTTCAGAGCCTGTTAAGAAAGGAAAAAAAGTGAAAGAAGGTAATGCTTCATATACTGACACCTTCAGGTCTTTATAGTCGGTGGTTTTCCATATTTATAATTGAGGTTTTGTGTCCCAGGCAACCAGGCCAATATGCCCTACCGGGTGATCTTCAAGAGGAAGCTCTGGTTCAATGTGAGCCCGGGGAAAGACCTGGTTGCAGACCTCACTTTCCATTTCCCACAGGTGTGCAACCAAAACACACTCTTCATTCTGCTGCTTTTTACTCTTTTTCAACAGGCAGAATTGTCTTGACACATAACCTCTTTTTTTTGCCGCCACATAGGAGCTGCCTAGGTACCTGCATGGATACCACAATTGCACCAAAGAGGACATGACCGACCTGGGTGGGCTGCTCTTCAGAGTCGAAGTAGATTCAGACAGGTCGCAGTTTGTCATGATCCCCAGAATGCTGAGGAAGCTTGTTCCTGCTGACCAGTTAAAGATGATGTCCCCTGAAGAATGGAAGAAGGTAGAATAAGGAATATACAGAGGCAGGGCAGACATTTATGACAATTCCTCTTTTAAAAAAACATCTCTTTTGGAGAGGCACCAGGAAGAAAACTGGCTTTTTCCATGAATGTGTCCAAGTTAAGGGAAGTCCACTGAGTAGTTCTCTCTTTGCTTTTTGTTCTACTTGCAGCACATCATCGCTGCCTATAACAAGCAGAGTGGCATCACGGTGCAGGAGGCCAAAATCGCCTTCCTGATAGGCATCTCGAGTTGGCCGACCTTCGGCTGTTCCTTCTTTGAAGTTAAAGTGAGTCCTCGGGATGAAATGACAGCAAAGTTGGCAGACAACAATTTGAGGAAACTGTTTTGCCTCATGATTTCATTTGCATTTGACTTTGCAGCAAACTTGTGAATCTAGCTACCCGAATGCAGTTTGGATCTCCATCAGCAAGCAAGGAGTTTGCATAATAGACCCAAATACAAAGGTAAATTTACTAATATATATCCTCTTCCTTATTAGTAATAATATATGTACAGTCTTCTCATGTTTCTTGTTAGTATTTTATTTCTCTGTTAATCAAATCTAGTCTGTTACATTTAATCTCAGTATATTATATTTTATAATAACCCATTGTGGGTGGAGGATTACATCTTAATGTATCTTAATCATACTGTAAACCTTTTAGGAGCTGCTTGTCATGCACCCATTCAGCCGCATCACAGATTACCAAAGTGAAGGCAACTACTTCGAGATGACCATCGGCACCCTGGGCAACATCTTTGTCTGTGAAACCTCAAAGGTAAGTGGCTGTCTTTTAAATTGAATTTCACAAAGTCCAAATCCACAGAGCACAAGCCAACACACATTGTTCTATAAGTCAGTCTGTTGAGTTTTTTTTTTTAAATGACACATTTTCTGACAAATACTTCCATTTCCTCCTTTATCAGGCCAACACAATGGTGGACCTCCTTATATCGTACATCACCATGTACGAGAGGCAGAGGCAGAACTTTCGACCAAGGAACCAAATGTTTTCCTGAGACTTCAAGAGCAAAAGCAGAGACTGAGATGCTGCGATTTGCATCTTTCAGTGATGACAAATGACAATGACAAAATTATATAGATTTGCTTCTACTAAACAAGATAGTGATGTTCAAATTTGTCTTATTGTAATTTATTTGTCTTGACCGCAATTCCTAACGTGTCATTGTGAGAACTGTTAAGAGTCTAGAACATGAATTGAGATTCATGTAAAATTAGTGATATAAACCTTTAACATGTCCAACATTGAGTCATTTAGATTAAAATAGAGATTTCTTAATTTATTATTGTTAGCATATTTCACTGAGAAAGTTAGCCTACAATGCTAAAAGATACATTGCAATTCATACCATCAAACATGATTATATTATCTAGGATCTAGTTGATGCATATTGTGTTTATCATATGGTACTAAATAGAATTTCAAAACACTGTACATATGTTCATACATTTACATATGGACACATATGCTTTTACATTTAATTACCTCGTTAATTGATATCCATTGAAATTATATGAGAGGAAAAGGGCTATTCTAAAACTGTAGACAGCATCCATAAATGTTGAGAAAAGCTTGTCTTTGAAATCCAGAACGGCTGACTTTAGTACACAATGTTCAAAATGACAAGTTTATTATCTGATGCATGCAAAATACAGTTGAAACTATTTCAACAGAAAACAGTCTCAGTTTGTGTTTTGTTTTTTAATTTAATTTCTGAAGCTTGAAGAGTTGAAGTGTTGTTAGCTGAATGCTGGTGTTTATTATTGCAATAAGTTGTGTTTAGACAGTTATGAAATATCACACCTTGTGTAAATGTACGACTTCTTCTTTTCCTCTTTAATTTGTTTGTATTTTCAAACTTGTATTAATATTTGAGGGGCCATCATTGTTTTAGACAACAGTTGTGTGGCTTATACACAAGCTGGAGACAAAATCAGCTAACACACAGTTTTCCATCAGACATTTGATGCTCCTTCAGTTTACTACAACACAACTCAAGTGTATATACCTGAAATGACATCACCAACTGTGTGTGTGTGTGTGTGTGTGTGTGTGTGAGAGTGTGTGTGTGTGTGTGTGTGTGTGTGTGTGTGTGTGTGGTGTAGCACGAGTAGTGTAATGTAGTAGACTACTTAAACAAACCTCCTCATTGCCTGTCAAGACTATTGCTCTGTTACTATGGAAACCATGTGACCAAAAAAATCAGGTTACCATGGGCAGGTGCATATGAGGTGCAGTATTATCGTCTGTGCCTCACAGTCTATCCCTGATGCAATCTGACTGCAAGTGGAGCGAGGGGGGGTAGACTGACACGAGACCCTTTAACAGTGTAATTACTATCATTTTAAATCATCTGAACCGATACAATTGCCATAGACATTACTATTCAGATAATAAAGGTTAAACAGTGTTTCTGTATCAGGAAAGACACATTTGCCGACTCTCATCTCACAGTCTGGCTTAAAGTAAATGTATTCTGTTACATTCAAAATAAATTAGAATGGAATGTAGGAATAAGATGGAGGCCAATCAGTTGAATGTCGAAGTCTGTATGTTTTGTGTATGCTGCCCTACAAGAAGGCAAATGCATTTTGATGCACTGCACCAAATTTGAAACAAAAGACCTTATTGCCCAGACCACATCACTATCCTCCCACCTGCATCCAACCCCCACCCCCCCACACCCCTTTTTGTATTTTAAGACTGAAGAACAGCATATCAAGATCAGGCCTAAAATCTACTCACTCATACAAACAACATATGAATCAATGCCTGTATATCTATATATATGTATATTTATAAATATGTATATATAAATATGTATATGTGTGTATATATATATAAATGTGTACATATGTATATATATATATATATATATATATATATATATATATATATATATACATATATATAAATATATGTATGTATATATGTATATCTAGAAATTTGTATATGTGTATATATATCTATATACATAGAAATATGTATGTGTATATATGTATATATATAACTATATATATATATAAATACATCAATATGTATATATACAGTAAATATATACAGTAAATATATATATATACACATACAGTATACACACACAAAAATATGTATATGTGTGTGTGCGTGTATGTATATATATACACGCACACACAGACATATGCACGCACACACAGAATACGGCGTGTGCGCACGCGTGTGTGTGTGTGTGTGTGTGTGTGTGTCCCTATTTTCTGTCGTTCTCCTCAAGCAGAAGCTGTCAAGAACTTTCGGCCATGTTTTTTCGGGGTGTCTGTTGTTTTCACCCAAACAAGAGGCTGTTCTCAGGTCGACGCTGAGACGTGCCCACCAGTCAACCTATGGCTAGTTTGGAGGAGGGTAAAATGATCCCAGATCAGTGTCTGTTTCAGTGTCATGCCATCCCCTATCGCGCTGCTAGGTGCGCGGCAGCCTCGCGATAGCCTCGCCTACTAGAATCAAAGCTCCGTTCGCGAGCTGGATGCTGACAGGCGCGCGGTGCGGTCGTCATGCAAAGGTTACATTGGATCCGTTTCAGCGAGTCTCTGAAGAAGCTGCTCCTCCACCGGACCCGCACGGAGCACAAAATGCGAGACGTGTAGCAACACAACAACGCTCGGACTCGCGTTTACAGGCCTGTTTGGCAACAGCAGGTGTCAAACGATGGAAGAAAGTTTGGGATTTCCGCAAACGACAGTGTGTACGCTGGCTCTTATCAGCGGTAAAGTGGCTTCATGAGTGTCCAAAGTAACAGTGGAAGTGGTGGTGGAAGTTTGGAGGCGACGCCATCTTGGTCGCAGCTCTCCTCGTCCCCAACGATTTCTCAACAACATATAACGGCGACCGCAAAGAGCAAGGAAGGTATATTAGCTCGCCAAGTGCACAACTGACTCGTATCCTCCTTAAAGTGTGTCCTTAACAGGAGAAGTGGACTATTATGGCCGTGTCGAGTTAACGTTTGTTGAAGTAAAAATGGATGTCAAGTTCACTAATGCCGTGAATTGGAAGCCAAACGTCAGCTGTCAGTTCAGTTGATGGCCAGTCTAAGTAGCAGCGAGCTATCCTGTTTGCACAAAGGAAGCGCTAGCTTGTTCTGTGTGTCAGCTTACATGATTTCTTGTTACTTGTAGCTGTTGATGCGATAGCTGTTTTTGTAGCAGTTCGTAACCCCCCTCCCTATCAGTATCATCTAGTTGGATATTCAACATGTCTATGCATGCATCCATTAAAGCATTAACATGCATGCTCCTACTGCTACAAACTTGAGAACAGGCCCTGGATTTTGCATTTTTTTGTCAGTTATAGATGCATCTATTCATCCACATTGTGTTGTTCAGACTGTATTTACTCTATGTTGCGGAGTTGCTGGATGTGATGTGACAAAACGGTGAACACAAGTGGGAGCTGTTAGTTATATTCTTCCAGTATCTGTTACATGACATGATGTGTAACAGAACGGTTTAGACAGCGATGGTTGTAAATAAGTCGTTAAGAAAGAAAATCCTCGTTATATGGACTGTAACGTTACGGAGGTAATCGTGTGATAATTAATGTTCCACCTGGGACATATTGATACTAATGTACTGTACAAAGTAATGCTGTAATATGAAGCTCTAGCTAAGCTTATATAGATGAATTAAGCTAAATCACCCCCTGTCCTTAGGTAACCTCACACAGGCGTTGTTATGTGCTCTCTGTCTCACTACTCAGGGGTTTCATAATGTCCATTATGCCTTCTAGGGCTTGCCCCTGTGCCAGAAGCTACATAAAGATGACAGCCAGGAAATATCCAATAAGGAAACAAACACTTGCAGCAGTAGAGTCAGCAGGGAGCAGAGGACCCCTGTGTGTGTCTCCCTGGAAACTGGTTGTCACAGAACAAGGCCCAGTCAGGCAGCATATATGTTTAGTGTGTGATCATCGTCGTATGAACATTGTGGTTCAGATTTGCAGTGGTGAGGTCTAGCACTCGGACATCTGCAAATCTGGCTATATAGTGTCAGCAAAAGTCTTGTTTCACCAGCATAAGGAACATCGATGCAGATATGTAGTATTTGAATTGGCCTGACTCGATTCCTCATTTCCTCTGAAGCTTTTAGATATATATATATATCTTCCAGCGTCCTTATCTCAGCTGGTCGGGCTCTATAGGCAAGGCTTCTGAGGTATTGGGAGAGTAATTTAGCTCTGTGCAATGAGGCCGTTGTGACGGTCTAACTTATGAGATAATAGAAGGGCTGGTTGAAGATTTCTGTGGTGACAAACTGGGAGACTCGCTCAGCCCGGCCTCGACTCTTCCCCCTCCTGACTTCCCAGTGGTAGAATGACCTTCCTGCTTATGTTAGAAATGCAGTGTCACTCATCCGCAGTATCTTCCATTATAGCATGAACGTGCATCTTTTAAAAGAGCTACCTCTACTGCCCATTTAATCAAATCCGTTTTTACCGTCTAATCTCTCGATTTTCTCTAATCCTCCCCCAGAAACTGTCCTCTGTTTCTTCTCTCAGTGCCTATTTTTTTTCGACTAATTTGGTCACAGAAAAATGTTCAGGGCTTACGCCTTTTTACTTGTCGCCACTGTTTGCTTCTAATGGTGATAATGTAAGCATCTAACCTTCCGCTGTTGATCCCCTTATGCCAGGCCCCATGGAGGAGCTGCACAGCCTGGACCCCAGGAGACAGGAGTTGCTGGAGGCCAGGTTCACCGGAGCCGTCAGTGGCAACACAGGAGGCAGCACTGGGAGCACCAGTGGAGGTGCTAAGGTAACCGCGATACAGGGAAAAACTGAAGCCTTTTTTTTGAGATACGTCGCACACAAACGCAGTCGACCCAGGACCCCTCATAATTCCCTTTGTTTGGCCAGTGAAGGATTGAAAACTCACAATCTTTGTTCAAAAGACGACACTTATTTGAGACTATTCAAGAAACGGATGCATCGCTTAGATATCAATAACAACAAGAAATCTCCAACCTTCTTTACTACCATCAACACTAGCGACAACCAGTGCTTGCTTGCAGCAGAAAGAATGCTGTAGACAAGTTGTAGCAGCCTGGAGGCTCGTGTTAGTCACTGACTATAACTCCACCATGATAGTTCCTAGGTCATCAGAAAGTACTGCCTCAGCAAAAGGGACCTTTGAATAGGCAGGAAATAAAAAAAAAAACACAGCCCGGTCTCATGGTGGAAAAGCAGGTAAAAGTTCCTGTTTTCTTAAATAAGGATGCAGGCGTCTCGTCAATATTAATGTGGTGGAAAAGAGCCAAGTGACAACCTAATAACTAGATATCTGGATTCCTATTAGACGTGTCATACTACGGGCCTGCCTCAGTCTTAGTTTGACATTATTTTGGGCAATATTTTCACAGTGTATGTGTTGACTAATTTGTTTGAATCCTCACTATGTGCAGGGTCTGGCCAATGAGTCTTCTAACCACAGCTATGGCAGTCTGGGCTCATCTAGTGACAAGGAATCGGAGGTAAAACACACACACAGTCATTTTTGCAATGGGCATGGATGACTGTATTTAATTTGAATAGACGGAACAAAATAAATGGAAATCATATATTTCTTACTTTATTACACAGATACTAACAGTGAAGTCTGGTTAGACAAAGTTGCATGTTGTCAGTACATCCTTGCTCTGCCCACTCGTCTTTCTGTCTCTCCCACTACCTCCACCTCTTCTCTTCTCTTCTCTTCTCTTCTCTTCCTAGAACTCTGATTTGAAAAGAGGGAGCTCCCCTGCCTACTCAGTATGTACTCTTTCTTCCTGCTGCTCTTTCCTGCTCAACACCGCCACTCGAACCAGCTTTGTTCGGTAAAACACAAGGGATTTATGCCTTCTTTTTTCTATCTCTCTCTCTCTGTGTTATTTCATATCGATTCACAGACCCCGGAGAAAAAGCACTCGGAGTCGTCCAGGGGGAGGAAAAGGAAAGCCGACACCTATTCAGAGAGCAGTCAAGGTATGACTGACGCATGCGTGCAACAAACTGATATGACGTAGATGTCCATGCCTTACCGATGGCTTACATTAAATCTTTTGTCAATTTTTCTATACAGGGAAGACCTCCACACGTGGGCCCAAGATCAGCGACTACTTTGATGTGAGTATTAAAGCAACTCCCGCCATTCCAAAAAGTTACAATCTGTATTATTTTGTTAAATGGGTTTTTAAGTCTGCCAATTTTCTCTGCAAAGTTCCAGGGTGGGAATGGTTCCAGTCCAGTCAGAGGTCTCCCATCAGCTCGCCGCTCTCCACAGAACTCGCACTCTGCCCCGGGCTCAATCGTGAGTTTTCCACAAACGATACAATGCCTCACACATTATTGATGAAGTAAGTTGCACATGAGGTGGATGTGATTCTCTGTGTTTCATTACAAGGTTTGAAAATCCCCCTTTGTCTAATAGATCCGGCAGAATAGCTCCTCCCCTACGAGTCTGTGTTTTGGTGAACACAATCCTAAAGCCTCCTCCAGCAAGTGTGTCCAGGTAATGCGATGCATGCATTAAACTCACACACGACACACTTTGCTGTATAATTATTAATACACCTCTGTCTGAATCCTTTAGACGGAGCTAACGGGGCTGAAACTTGCCGCTCTGGAGAGCAACAAGAGTCTGGACCTGGAAAAAAAAGAGGGACGAATAGATGACCTGCTCAGAGTAAGTTCAGCATCCGTACACCGCGTTTTGATCGAGAGTGCATGAAAGGACAACTGTCTAATGTTTATAACTACACAACCAAACATAATGCAGTCCCTGCTGTCTTTCCCTTAACAGGCTAACTGTGACCTGCGGAGGCAGATAGATGAACAGCAGAAACTCCTGGAGAAATACAAGGAGAGGCTCAATAAGTGCATCACCATGAGCAAGAAGCTGCTTATAGAGAAGGTATCTGTCTTTGCCTGCGTGCACCCTTTTGTGTATTCATCATACACATGATTGAAAAAAAGAAAACATCTGTATTAAGACATTTCTGTTCCCTTGTGGGCAGAAAGAAAACCAACCTGACAGACACATCCCACTGTTTATAAGCCTAACAGACGCTATCGTCTTATAGTGTTCTGACAGCTGACAGTTAATGTGTTAGCAACATATAGAAGTTTTGAAACGTATTGCTTGCAAAATAACTGCCTTCTTGCACCTGCTACTGACGGAGAGCAACAGCTTCTCCAATAATACGTTCAATATTCTCTGGTGTTTTAGCTCTGCTTTGGTCCAACTCTTCAGGGGAAAGTTCTGTCTGTGGGTTGGTAGATCTTTGAATCTCTTCAACAATTACCTGTTTTTCCTCATGGGCTCCACAATTTTTGGGTTTGGAGTTGCAATTAGCTGCACAGTAGCGGTGGGGATTTATCGTACAAGCTACCTTTTAACAATATGACAGACGTATGACATATCGCAGAGGAATTTAATGCGGACCTACCGATGCGTTGGATCCGTCACATTGGTCAGCCGTCACTCTGGTCAGCCGACACTCTGGTCAGCCGTCACTCTGTTAGTAGAGACTTCAGTCTGCAGTGTAGTTCATACTCAAACCAATTGATTCAACATATGCTTGAAGGTATTTTTAAACAGTTGTGCGTTGGTGTAGACACATTTAGTCTGGGTGGAGAGAAGTTCCAGGTGAGGGCTTTTTGTCACTCGTCACATTTGGTTTGTCTAATGTAATGTATGAACAGAGCACCCAGGAGAAGCAGTCGTGTCGCGAGAAGAGCATGCAGGACCGTCTCCGTCTCGGTCACTTCACCACCGTCAGACACGGAGCGTCCTACACAGAGCAGTGGACGGACGGATACGCATTCCAGAACCTGATCAAGTGAGTGATGGCACACGCGTGCATATTTTTACCTGATTACAGGAAGTTTAACACTCATCCTTTGCACGAGTGTTGCAGCTCTAAACCATTGTAAAAGGTCTGAAACACAGTGGCTATAAGAGTAATTTCTGTGCATGCTTCTCTTCACGGCCAGGTGCAAAGCATATGAAAAGGCTGTTTATTGTCTGCTACAGTATTTCCCACATGACCCCGTTCCCTATACCACACTGTATAGGCAACAGGAGGGCATCAACCAGCAGAGGGAGGACATAGAGCGACAGAGGAAGCTGCTGGCCAAGAGGAAGCCTCCAAACCCTGCTTCTCCCTCCCTCTCGATCGCCTCCGCTTCTGAAGCCAAGCAGCGGAAAACTAAGGTGGTCAACGGCAACGACTTGGACCCGTTTCTTAAGCCCTCCTTGCCCCAGCTGTGAGTACACTGAAATCGCTACATACTGTCAGTGGAAGAACTGGAAGATGTTGGACCATAAAGAATGAGGGATGATTGTGCCCTGTTTGTGGTGTTTTGTCTGTAGAACTGTTAGTGGCCATACATCATAGGCCTCTTTTAGATCTTCTCAATTTTAGTCTTCACAATTGGAGGCTTAAAAATATCATTGCAAGATGACTTTTTTGAGATTTGTCTGTCCGGAGATTTTGACTTGTACATATTTTGTCAGACTGACGCTCGCCGAGTACCACGAGCAGGAAGAAATCTTCAAGCTTCGTCTCGGACATCTAAAGAAGGTTGGTAGAAGAAAATAAATAAATCGATTGACTCAACATATTGTGCCCATTAGACATGTTTGTCTATTTAAATGGCCATAAATGTACATTGAAACATTGAGAATGTAATTAAAACATTGCATAGATGGTTATTCATTCATTTAAAATGGCAGCTGGAGTATTACATTGTTTGATTATATTCATGCGTTTTAAGTCCATGGAAGAATTTCACACAGTGTAATTATTCAGGAGGAAGCAGAGATCCAGGCAGAGCTGGAGCGGTTGGAGCGGGTGAGGAACCTCCATATCAGAGAGCTGAAGAGGATAAACAACGAGGACAGCTCAGCGTAAGTCTACATACACTACCACTAAGACTTGCAACATTTAGGTTATTCTGTCAATACAAACCTTTAACTAATGGAGAATGCCTTTTCTAGTTAAAAGACAAAATATTACAATATGGAAGTGCAGTAATATCTCATTTGAAAAGTGCTTGTTTAAAACACAAGAGTCGGGTACAAGCAGTGAACATGAAGTGTTGTTCCTCCTCACACAGGTTTAAAGACCATCCTACCTTGAATGAGAGGTACCTGCTGCTGCACTTGCTGGGCAGGGGTGGCTTCAGTGAAGTCTATAAGGTAACGTCTGTGTGGTTGGACTGGATTTTCTTTTCTATTCCGTCTCACTGTAAAGACTGTTTTAAGAGGTGTTCGTGTGTGTGTGTGTGTGTGTGTGTGTGTGTGTGTGTGTGTGTGTGTG